TAATGTTGGCATTAAAGGTGAGCAGTGAAAAGAAAGGAGTACGGAAACCCTTTATGACTGTTAAATTAACGTATCTGTAATACTTAAATGCTATGGAAAGATAGGGAAACAGGTCTAAAAGACTGTTAGAATAATGTATCTGCAATTCTAAATATGCTATGGGAAGGGAGAGAAACAGGTCCGCGATGTAGGAAGTGGTGAAGAAAGTAGTCAATGTGAGCAGTCCAGAGTGTGGGAAGCCTTTGTGACAATTAGAATAATGTATCTGAAATTCTAAAAATGCTATGGGAAGGGAGGGAAACAGGTCCACGACATTTAGGAAGTGGTGAAGGAAGTAGTCAAGGCGAGCAGTCCGGAGTGTGGGAACCCTTTTTGGCAGTTAGATTAATGTATCTGCCATAATAAAATGCTATAGGAAGGGAGGGAAACAGGTCCAAGACGTAGGAAGCGGTAAAGGAAGTAGTCAAGGCGAGCAGTCCGGAGTGTAGAAACCCTTTGTGGCAGTTAGATTAGTGTAACTACAATTCTAAAATGCTATGGGAAGGAGGGAAACAGGTCCACGACGTAGGAAGTGGTTAGGGAAGTAGTCGAGGCGAGCATTCTGGAGTGTAGAAACCCTTTGTGACAGTTAGATTAATATACCTGCAATACTAAAATGCTATATGAAGGGAAGGAAACAGGTCCACGACGTAGGAAGCGGTGATGGAAGTAGTCAAGGCGAGCAGTCCGGAGTGTAGAAACCCTTTGTGACAGTTAGATTAATGTACCTGCAATACTAAAATGCTAAAGGAAGGGAGGGAAACAGGTCCACGACATAGGAAGTGGTAATGGAAGTAGTCGAGGCCAGCATTCTGGAGTGTAGAAACCCTTTGTGACAGTTAGATTAGTGTAACTACAATTCTAAAATGCTATGGGAAGGAGGGAAACAGGTCCACGACGTAGGAAGTGGTTAGGGAAGTAGTCGAGGCGAGCATTCTGGAGCGTAGAAACCCTTTGTGACAGTTAGATTAGTGTAACTGCAATTCTAAAATGCTAAAGGAAGGGAGGGAAACAGGTCCACGACGTAGGAAGTGGTATTGGAAGTAGCCGAGGCGAGCATTCTGGAGTGTAGAAACCCTTTGTGACAGTTAGATTAGTGTAACTGCAATTCTAAAATGCTAAAGGAAGGGAGGGAAACAGGTCCACGACGTAGGAAGTGGTATTGGAAGTAGCCGAGGCGAGCATTCTGGAGTGTAGAAAACCTTTGTGACAATTAGATTAGTGTAACTGCAATTCTAAAATTCTATGGGAAGGGAGGGAAACAGTCCACGACGTAGGAAGCGGTGATGAAAATAGTCGAGGCGAGCAGTCCGGAGTGTAGAAACCCTTTGTGACAGTTAGATTAATATACCTGCAATACTAAAATGCTATAGGAAGGGAAGGAAACAGGTCCACGACGTAGGAAGTGGTAATAGGAGTAGTCGAGGCGAGCATTCTGGAGTGTAAAAACCCTTTGTGACAGTTAGATTAATGTAACTGCAATAATTCTAAAATGCTATGGGAGGGGAGGGAAACAGGTCCACGACGTAGGAAGCGGTGAAGGATGTAGTCAAGGTGAGCAGTCCGGAGTGTGGGAACCCTTTGTGAAAGTTAAATTAATCTATTTGAAATTATAAAATGCTATAGGAAGGGAGGGAAACAGGTCTACGACGTAGGAAGTGGTGAAGGAAGTAGTCGAGGCGAGCATTTCGGAGTTTAGAAACCCTTTGTGATAATTAGAATAATGTACAGTATCTGCAATTCTAAAAATGCTATGGGAAGGGAGGGAAACAGGTCCACGACGTAGAAAGTGGTGAAGGGAGTAGTCGAGGCGAGGAGTCCGGAGTGTAGAAACCCTTTGTGATAATTAGAATAATGTACAGTATCTGCAATTCTAAAAATGCTATGGGAAGGGAGGGAAACAGGTCCACGACGTAGAAAGTGGTGAAGGGAGTAGTCGAGGCGAGGAGTCCGGAGTGTGGGAACCCTTTGTGACAGTTAGATTAATGTATCTGCAATAATAAAATGCTATGAGAAGAGAGGGAAACAGGTCCACGACGTAGGAAGTGGTGAAGGAAGTAGTCAAGGTGAAGAGTCCAGAGTGTGGGAACTCTTTGTGACAGTTAGATTAATGTATCTGCAATAATAAATGCTATGAGAAGAGAGGGAAACAGGAAATACATTACGTACATTACCAATGACTTTGGTTAATTAATGGACGAGAAGTTAGGATTGTTGTTGACTGAGATTTGGTTTTTTTTTTAGAGGTTGGCAGCCTCTTTTAACCTTGCACTTGCCCGTCCACATAGACTAAGCGCCCGTGCGTGGATCGTTTACAGCAAAGCAAGGGGTGAGCCGGTACAGTACAAAGGTGAACTGTACTGATAAAATTTAGTGGCAGTGACCAGGATCTGAACCCACGACATCGCTGCCTTGGGCGCGTAGTCCGCGTGACGCTACCGACTCACCATTATTTGCCCCGACTCATGGGTTGATTTGCCCATACAAATAACATTATTGTGTTCACCAGTGACACCGGTAAGTATGCTAGGTGTAGGTGGACTCTTTCATTATTGCGCTCATGTTCACTCATCCCGTTACGCGCAGAATAAGCGTACTACTAGTTTAAAAATAGCCCGGACGATACCCATCTACAAGAAAGGGGACCCTTCACTCTTGTCCAACTTCAGACCGATATCTATCCTTCCATCTTTCTCCAAGGTGATAGAGACCATTATGAAGAAACAACTAATAGCCTACTTGGAAGGTAATGACATTCTGACGGAAGCCCAACACGGATTCAGAGGTAAACACTCGACCACTTCTGCACTTTTAAGCCTTGTTGACGTTATCTCCAGTGCTTTTGAGGAGGGTGAGTCTGTCCTGCTAAGTTTGTGTGACTTGAGTGAGGCATTCGATGTCGTAAATCACAAAATCCTTCTTGCTAAACTTAGTAGGTATGGGTTGGGTGGTGCAGTCCTTGGCTCGCTGACTGAATACCTGAGTGGCCGCAAACAGTATGTCACTCTGAGAGGTGCCTCTTCCAGCGTTGGCAGCATACACCTCACGGCGTGCCGCAGGGCTCGGTGCTGGGGCCGGTGCTCTTCATTATCATGATCAATGACCTCTCACTTAACAACCGTACTCTGCTGTTTGCAGATGATACTACTTTGTTCTCTAGAGGGAAGGACCTAGAGGATCTCCGTGAAGAAGCTACTGTTCTACTGGAAGAAGCGAAGAGCTGGTTTGCTGCCAATAGGCTCAAGGTGAATGAGGACAAGACACAGACCATCCTGTGTACCCTCAAACCTGCTGTAAAAGATGAGGCTGTAAAACTCCTGGGTTTCTGGCTCGACCCCAGGTTAAATTGGAGGCATCACATAGGCAAGGTATGTGTCAAACTATCGAGAGTTATTTACCTACTAAGAAGACTTCGCCCTACATTAAGGCAACCCTCTCTGCTGATGGTCTATCACGCCCTCTTCCACAGCCATGTGTCATACGGCCTTGTCCTATGGGGCCATTCTACAGCAGCCCATGAGATCCTATTGCTCCAGAAGAAAGCCATGAGGATAGTGTCATCTGCTGGCTACAATTAAGGAGCACTGCCGCCCTATATTCATCCGACATAGGGTGCTCACTGTATTCAGCCAGTATATCCTCGACATCCTTGTAATTCCTAAGGACAAGGTTGGACTCTTTGGCAGGAGGGAGGAGGTCCACACCCACAATACCCGCAGAGCCCTAGACCTCGACATGCCTCGGTGCCGACTTGCACAGACGATGAGGAGTTACCCGCGTTCGGCAATTAGGGTTTTCAACACCTTGCCCAAGCGAGTGCGGGACATGGACCTGCCAGACTTTAAGAGTGCGATTCGCGATGGACTGCTGAATAGGCCATTGTACGCCTTGCAAGAGTTGGACAACGAACCCCTTTTTGTAACGTGACACGTTCGCCACAAAAAGTATATATAAGTAGATATTTTGTAAAGTGTTTAGCAAATATGTAAATAGAAACAAAACATGACGCAATCCATCCGACATGTCGGTCAACGATGTAGAAGACAAGTATTCAAGTAAGTGATAGTAGTACGCATGTTCTGGATGAGTGAACGTGAGCGCATAAATGGGCGAGTGCACCCGCACCTACCGGTGTCACTGCCCACTGGTGAACACAGTTTTATTTGTTGGCAAATCTACCAAGTCTCAGCAACCATAACTTCTCGTCCATTAATTAACCTAAGTCATTGGCAAAATTTGTGGCGAATTTCCAACAATTATCGATAGGTGGTAATCTATCGTTCCTGTACAAATCGTCTTTTGTAATTTCAGTTCTTTAAAATTATACACAATAGTTTAACGGACCAACGTTTGTTTTTAGAAATGTTTCCTAATTTAGGCCTAGCATAGACTACAAAGCCAAACTGAAGTAATCTAACAAACTCCAAACTGCTCGCCTCTACCACTTACCACTTCCTACGACGTGGACATGGTTGTGGTTCTCTCCCCTCCCAATCCCATAGCATTTTAGTATTGCAGATTCATTTATCTAACTGCCACAAACGGAAACGGTTCTTACAATCAGCAATGCAAGTACCACATGGATTCTTTAGCTTTGATATTTCTTCTTCGTTGATCGTAAGAAGAAAAGTTACACTTGTACATATGTTGAACCGGAGGATCTCATTTGTGAACCAATGATCCATCCATGGTTGTACGGTATGTTTCCTATGTTTCTTATTAACCCTTCGGGTAAATCATTATATTTATTGAATTTACCATGTCATTGACAGACTCCAGAGTATGTATGGAGTGCCAAGGTGTCAAATAATCATCCATAAAAAATAACTGGCCAACAACTATAATATAGAACAACGAAGCTTAATAGCAAAGCTGAGCCTACATAAAATAGGCAAATCAGAAAAAAATCTAAGGTTGTCTAACTTCTTTTCTAACCTCAATTCTCTTCTCATCTCATCCACTCATCCTCCCTCGACCACGACCACTCTTCCTCTTGTCGTCTTTGTGTGTGTAATGGTAATGTGACTAATGTGAGTGTGAGTTGTGTTTGTGTCCAGTTGTCACTCTTGTGCTTGTCAATACATATTACATACTTACACTAGTACAAAAAAAATACAAATACAGTAAGTGTTTCGTGTATTAGGCTTAAAGTAATTTTAACCGTAAAGTTTTCATCATAGAAAAAATCAAAAATGCCAAATGGGCCTTACAGAAAAAAGAGATTCCACCGAGGTGATCCTCTTATGAAAAAGTATAAAACAAAAAGGAAGACTAAGGATTTGGATGAGGTAGGACTGGGATAATATTCACAAATCCATGCATTATTTATCTCTAACTAGGCCCAGGACTTATCATTAAGAGGATATAGACCTAGATTCTATGTTCGTAATAAACAATGTAACTTAGGGCAGCACTTTAGATTACATCCCACGGTTATTGTTCAGTTTCCACAACTCACCTAAAACGCACTTAAAAACGTTCTTAAACTGTTCTTTGACATCAATACTAACTTACAACTCGCTTAGAAAAATAACTTTTTTGTCACCGAGGCTTCCTTTAACCCTCCAAGTGTCCATAGTTTAGGCCTTAATGTCCACCTATTTTTGGCGCATTTGCAAGGTTTTATTAAAACGGACCTGAGAAGCTTAAAACGATGTTAATTCTAATGTTCTATATACCATTTTGTTTGGAAAATCATGGGCTTCAATATTATATATAAAACATAAGGAACATTTTTTCAAAAAAAAAAATTTTTAGGTAAAAAAAATATAATTTCGAAAATTTAAAAAAAAAAAATAAGTTCGCGCTCAATGAAATTGTATAAATTATAGGCCTATAAATATTTGAAAATAGCCACTTTGTTCTAAATTTTATGAGGATTACAAATATATAATAATATAAGGAAGTATATTTGCAAATAAATAAGTTATGGGCAAAAAACTGATTTCAGTACATAGCGTTTAGCTAAGAATGCATAGCCTAACCATAGCTAGGAATCTGGCTGATAATTTACATCAATATCACTACCTACTTCTTCAGGATCATCAACCAGCACTTCAAAACCACTTAAATCTTCTTATAATGCACCACGTATATCACTACTTTTGATTTTTAACACTAAAACAATGATAAACGTAATAAAACACATCAGTCATCGGTCCGGGGGAACCTAGCTGTTTACAAATACACGCACGTCAGCTGTCTGCTACAATATTTTCGGAACTAAAATGAATAGCGCTTAGAGACAGACCTCTGCAGAAAGCTTAGAATATTACGGAAAGAACGATACCTAACTCGATCCAGTTCAATCCGATTCAGTCAGTTATAGAGCCTTCGCCGTAAACGATGTCTGCTTGTCGAAAAATCGGCAAGTAACACTATACAAAGTGTGGTGCTTGCCGAATTTTCGTCAAGTAACACTGGGAGGGTTAACCCTCCGAGTGTTAACTTATGTGTCGTAAAATCGACACATAACACACTTTGTGTAGTGTTTTGTGTCGATTTTTCGACTTACAAACACTGTTTACGGCGAAGGCTCTATGACTGACAAAATCGGATTGAACTGGATCGAGTTAGGTACAGTAGACCCCCTCTTAACCGACCTCGTATTAACCGATAATCGGATTATCCGCCTTTGATCGTAAAATAATACAGTTTGTTTTAACCGACCTTGCTTTGAGAGCAGCTCGGTTTAACCGCCGCTTTCAAGGAATCTCGGCATTTCCGCTCCCACGCTGGGCGATGAGAACTGAAACATACGCTTATCTCCACAGGATATGACTAACAATATAAGTTATTTTGTGTTGATCACAAAAAATATAGCATAGCCTATTGTCAGTTTGACATCATCGTTAGTAGCTCAAGCACATCTGATCTGATTTGTTATCTGTGCGGCATAAAGTGCGTAACGATTTTGAGAACTGATTATCTTATCACTGGAGTAAACAAACAACGCAACTTGTAGGGAAGGCAGGGAAGAGGGGTTAACAACTCCAAGGTGAAGATAGTTTTTGTGCCTCGTGCCGGAGAGTGAGAGGCTATAAATAAACGTCCTGTCTTGTAACAAAATTGTCGCTTGTATCTTTAATGTCGACAAAAGGTTCTCTACTGTGTTACGATGTATTTGGAAAGCATCAATTAATACATTACACTACTAAAGTTATTAAAATAGGAATTTTATTGACTCTTGCCTAGTATTATTAAAATAGGAATTTTATTGACTCTTGCCTAGTATTATAATATATTCCACTGAAAGTAGGCCAATTTGACTTAACCGTGTTTTGTGTTGTGTTTATTTGTGACTTTTCTATCAATATGAAAAAGGAGATAAGAGTAGTTTATTTTATAAATAATGCAAGTATGACTTCAAAATAACGATTATATAATTCCAAATGAATAGTAGGCCTACTTCATTATGTTATGATTTTAGGGATTGCCCGTTTTAACCGATCTTTTGAGTTATCCGACCTAGGTCCGGTCCCATTAGGGTCGGTTAAGAGGGGGTCTACTGTATCGTTTTATTTGGCAGATTCTAAGCTTTCTCCCGAGGTCTGTCTCTAAGCGCTTTTTTTTCTCGAGCCGATCATAATTGTAGCAGACAGCAGACAGCTGACGTGCGTATTTGTAAACAGCTTGGTTAACCTCGCACCGATGACTGATGTGTTTTATTACGTTTATCATTGTTTTAGTGTTAAAAATCAAAAGTAGTGATATACGTGGTGCATTATAAGAAGATTTAATTGATTTTGAAGGGCTGGTTGATGATCCTGAAGAAGTAGGTAGTGATATTGATGTAAATTAACAGCCAGATTCCTAGCTATGGTTAGGCTATGCATTCTTAGCTAAACGCTATGTACCGAAATCTGTTTTTTCCCATAACTTATTTATTTGCAAATCTACTTTCTTATATTATTATATTTTTGGAATCCTCATAAAATTCTGAACAAAGTGGCTATTTTAAAATATTTGTAGACCTATAAATTATAACAATTTATTGAGCGCAAACATAAATTTTTTTCATTTATTTTATAATTTTTGAGAAATGTTAACCCCCCAAGAATTGTTGAACATTTTTTTGGTAATGTTTTATATGTTACATTGAAGCCCATAATTTTCCAAACAAAATGATATATAAAACAGTATACTTTACATTGTTTTTAAGTTTCTAAGATAGGCCCTACATTTTAATAAAACCCTGCGATTGCGCAATAAATGGGCGAACATTAAGACCAAAACTAGAGACACTTGGAGGGTTAATAACTACAATCGGTTTAATACCAGCAATAATTCCTACTCACTAGGGGACAGAGTGGGAATTCGGGGTTTTGGGTGGGGAGAAAACTCGCTTAAACATCGAGACAACTGGCTAATTTAACTTGCTAAAACATCGAGACAACAGGCTAATTATTTAACTCGCTAAAACATCGAGACAACAGGGTAATTTTTATCAGCAATAATTCCTACTCACTAGGGGACAGAGTGGGAATCCGGGGTTTTGGGTGGGGGGGAAAAGCCTCTTAAACATCGAGACAAAAAGGTAATTTCATGGGAAGATGGGTAATTTGTACAACGAATATGGGATTTTTTTTATTATGCGAGATAAAGTAGCCTACCTAAAACGCGATAAAAATCAAAATTACTGGGGATAATATCCCCATTTCAGGGATTTTATGCACATATCAGGGATAAATGGCTAGTACCAACCTAAATGGATGTCGATGTGGCAATGCCACGTCACTAGGTGTACCCGTCCCACACTCATCCAATGAATTTTAATACCGTACTTAATACTTTTGGGTAGACTTCCTTATCCTGTTGGCAAAAACAACCGAATGAAAATACCGATCAATTATTCAATATATCGTTTGGTTAGTTAAGCTTAGGTAAGGTTAACCTATCTAACCACAAGATAAATCGAATGAAACAATCGAATAATCAATATTTTCATTCGGTTGTTTGTGCCAACAGATACGGGAGTCTACCCATACTTTTTATTGAAATGGGGACCATACAAAGTAAGTTAGGTATTTTAAGCCAAGTATGAATGGAGACGAGTGTAGGATGAGTGGCTTGATCTTATAGATATTCCTTAGACACAGCAGTTATAATTAATATACCATACAGCTAATGGCAACTAAGGGACCTATAGTTCATAGTAGAATCCGAACCACATTTTACCTTGGCATTGACGAATTAGTCTAATTATCAGGATAGTACTGCGGATAGTCATAGTACTCGCTAGTGCGGACGTTAATCCACACCAGGGAATATCGCATCCACAGTGCATGCCTATAAATAGGAATTGGTTGGGATAAAACGGGTAGGCCTATAAAAACGAGCAAATTTCAATTTCTAGGCTAGATAGGCCTAAACAATGTTTTTTTTTTTAATATTAAAAAAAATTAATGGTTTCAGCTTGTCATTATTATCTCTTAGAATGGTTTAATATGTATTGTTAATAAATAAACTGTTTGTTATAAAAATTATTAACATTATTTATAGAGGCCTATACCTATTTTACCCCGTGGTTGGGGGAAAACGGGTATAGTAGATGTTTTCTAAGTAAAACACAATAATAACAATTGAAGTACCTGTTTTACCCCACTATATGTGTTAAGTAGGTATATTAAGAAATAACTATTCATTAGAAATATGTATACAGACCCAGTCAAAACCGATAGAAAACAAACAAAATTGAATGGTTTGGGATTAGTTTGCCAGGAAATAACTTCATTCTGGGCATTGTTATTACAGTGTCAGCTTAAAATGCTTGTTTCAAGGTTCAAAACTTCAAAAATTTCTGGCGGAAGCCACCCGTACCTCCCTTTCCGGTGTGGCAATTTTAGGCCTAATTATAGTTTAAGCTAGGTAACTTAGTTCAAACACTTTTAAGGGAAATTGGTCGAAACCCTCTCAAGTTTTGAATTGAAATCGTCCTTCCTACAACGAAGTTTGAGACGCTAACCAACTAGTTTACAACTCACCCAAATAGTAAATGATAGATAGGCTTAAGCTTATATTATTTTTGCTAGCTAGTTTTGAACTCAATCTTAATGATTTTCCAGATTTCTTTACTTTGTCCAACATCTGAAATTTTGAATATCAAATCATTGCTTTCAGATAGACAGTGACCTGAAAAAGGAAACAGCAGAAAAGTTGTTGAATCAAGAAATTGATGTAGACAAACCTGGAAATGCCCAATTCTACTGTTTACATTGCGCGTAAGTATATTGGTGAACTACTTTCATCAGACTAGGCTATTTCACTGTATCTCGATTATGAGACTGTGACGCATCCCAGGTATATAGTAGAGTCCTACCATTTTCGTTTTATAAGTAGGCCTACCTAGGTTTGCTACTACAGGGAGTATAAAGTGTGTTTTATAGTAAATCTATATATATATATCCTACTAATATTATAAATGAGAAAGTTTGGATGTATGGATGTATGGATGTATGTTTGTGACAAGTGAACGTGAAAAATACTGGTCGGATTGGGCTGAAATTTGGCATGATGATAGCTCACATTCCCGATTAACATATAGGCATATTCTTATTTCAAAAATCCTTTCGGGCTCCGCCCCAGTGGCTCTGGAGTTTCCCATGTTAACCTTATGAGAAATGGAATTATTGAATATTAACAGCTGTTTCAATTAAACAAGTTGGTTCTGTTCTATGATGTTCAATAGCATTAAAGTTACAAGGATTACCAACAGGGTCACAGAAAACATATTACTATAACCCAGAATGCCAACCGCATGGTAAAAAGCATTAAGTGTTTTGAGAGAGCTTTGCCTGTCAATCGTAGGCAGCGCCACCAGCGTTGCTATGCTGAGTGCATGGCAACGCTGGTGGCGCTGCCTGCGATTGACAGGCAAAGCTCTCTCAAAACACTTAATGCTTTTTACCACGCGGTTGGCATTCTGGGTTATAGTAATATGTTTTCTGTGACAGGGTGCAGCACTATTATTTCTTTTACATTTATGACAACAGCTAATTTGCAACCAAAAGGTGAGTGAGCGTAGCGAACGAACTTCAACCTGGAGGCGAGTAAGCGTAGCGAACGAGCTAACCTGAAGGCAAGTGAGCGCAGCGAACGAGCTCCAACCTAAAGGTGAGTGAGCGTAGCGAACGAGCTCCAACCTAAAGGTGAGTGAGCGTAGCGAACAAACTTCAACCAGGACGTGATTGAGCCATGCGAACGAGATAATCTTGAAAATTAAGAAGTTAAACGGAGCAAAGCCCGCGGGTTACAGCTAGTATATATATAAGGCAAAGCCCTCACTGACTCACTGACTGACTGACTGACTCACTCACTCATCACTAATTCTCTTACTTCCCATTTACCTAGGAGGCTGAAATTTGGTACACTGATTCTTTAGGCATTAAATAGGAAAACTAAGCTGTTTTTATTCTGATCGGACTCTCGGGCTCCGCCCCAGTGGCTCTGGAGTTTCCCATGTTAACCTTATGAGTTCTCATATTTAAATGGAATTAATGAATCTTAACAGCTGTTTCAATTAAACATGTTGGTTCAGATCTATGATGTTCAATAGCATTAAAGTTACAAGGATTACCAACAGAGTGCAGCACTATTATTTCTTTTACATTTATGACATCAGCTAATTTGCAACCAAAATGTGAGTGAGCGTAGCGAACGAACTTCAACCAGGACGTGATTGAGCCATGCGAACGAGCTCACTTATGAAGTTAAACGGGGCAAAGCCCGCGGGTACAGCTAGTTATTAATATTTTAGTACCAGTATAAAATAAATAAGTTTGCCAAGTTTGATCAACTTCATCACATTTTTGGATAAAGGATAATTTTAATTGTATTTTATTAAACTATGTGTTGTTTCAGGAGATATTTCATTGATGACCATGCTATGAAAGAGCATTTTCGTTCCAAGGTTCATAAACGCCGCCTCAAGGCTTTAGAACTTGAACCTTACACTGTCGAAGAATCTGAGAGAGCCGCTGGACTTGGTAACTTTACACAAGCCAAGAGGAGAAAGATCGAAACTCAACCATCCAAAGAACCAGAAGAAATGAAAGTTGATGAATCAAATTAATAAATTTAAAATGGCTAAATATTTTAAACTTTTTAAGAAACCTCTTTTTTTAATCAGACCTATGGTCAGACCCTTCAGCTCTTCCTTAGAAGACCAACCAAAGTCATCACTTTTTATTTCAGGCAAAAGAGCTCAGGATACATTTGTTGCTGTGGTTCCACATATAGACTTTGATGAGAGATTCAAAGACATAAACAGTTTATCAGATAACATAAAACGGAGGAAACTAAATCTAAATGCTAAGGAATTAAGTCAGTCTTGGCTATTTTATAAGGATTGGAATGATAAAAGAAATAAGTTACAGAATAATCTAGATGAGACGGGGAGAAGAATGAGGGAGCTTCTTAAGAAAGAAGAAAGTGAAGCTAAAGAGGAGATGAAAAGGTTAGAAAGATTAAGAGAAATCCTGAAAAAAGACATACATGAGGTAAAAGAAAATATTTGGGGGATGGAAGACAATGTTATTGGCAGTTTGTTGAAATTGCCAAATCATTTGCATAAGCTCGCTCCTGAAAATGAAGAAAATGTTTATTTTTTAAACAATGAAAGCAATGCTTCCAAAGGAGTGGATCATTTGAAAGTAGGAGAGGATCTAAACATTCTCAAATATTATGATCAGTTTACTTATTTTCTAAAAGATGAAGCTGCTATGTTTGAATTAGCTTTATCAGACTTTTGTATTGACAAATTAGTAAGAAAGGACTTTATTCAGTTTTCAAATCCTGATTTTACTCGAAGTTCCCTTGCAGAAGGTGTTGGAACTGTTCCCAATGATACTTCTGAACTGTTTCTGCTAGAAAACACTGAAGCAAACAATGATCGTCTACACATGTGTGGTGGAGCCTCGATATTCCCATTCTGTGGTTTTCATGCCAAACAAGTGGTTCAGAAAGATTCCCTGCCTGTAAGATATGTAGCCTCAGGCAGACAGTACAAACAGACTACTTCTTCATTACCTGGTCTGTACTCTGTCCACCAGTCGACATCGGTTCAAGTTTTTATTGCAACATGGAGTGACAAAGAAATGAATGAAGAGTTTAACTCTTGCTTAAAGGTGTTTGAAGAACTTTTTAATGAATTCGGCCTAAAATTTAGAATAGTAATACAGCCACCTCATACTTATAAAAGCTGGGATAGTTTGAGAGCAAGTTTACAGGTGTTTTCTCATTTAAATAAAAGTTTTATTGAAGTTGGACATCTGAGTTTAATAGATGATTTCATTAGTAAAAGACTGAGAATGTGTTACAATGATAAGAAAGGGGAATTATTTCTTAAAGTAATCTCTGGAACTGTCATCAATGCTCAGTCATTCCTTGCTCTTTGTTTAGAACGATCACAACAAAAGTTGTTTGTACCAGAGAATTTAAGACACTTTTTCTATTTATAATTCACAAGGTTCATTTTATGTAGATAATCTGTTGTATAGTCAATAAAGGATTCAGTTTTGGTATTCATGATCAGATTTGATAACCTCTGAAAAATTCTGTTTTGAAATTAGTAAGATGCCGAATTCTAGAGGCATAATTTTAATTTCAATTGGAGATCCGGCATATACGGCGAATGGAGTCTTTTGATTGGCTGAACCAACAGTGACATCATGACTTTGGGTACAGTTTCTGGGCTGCCCTTATATTGATTTGATTAATAAACTTGATTTGAAAAAATGGGATCGAGTACCAAACATGTGCTAATACTACTTAACATGTTCGCTACTCATTGCCACAGACCGAGGTATACATTTGAATCTTACCCATAGACCGGCTGACACTTGGTTAACAGTACAAACAGACCACGAGTGAAAACCTGTAAAACAGTGATCATTTACATTGTAATGTGCTACAATCGTGTTTGTAAATAATTTATTCTTGGTTTTTTGTATTTTTTATAACCTTTTGTAAAGTTGCATATTTGCGACGCCCGGTCTACAGCAAAGACAATAGTGAAAATTATCATAGTTTTCTTGAAATAGACCAAACGTCGCATATTTGCGACAGTTCATTTTTGTTTGTGTTTTGAGGTAAAAGTAAGTAAAAAAAAAACAGATTATTCAAGAACAGTTTATAACTGAACAAATTTAAAAGCTACAGAGGGTAATGCAGCATAAATACTGCATACATACATACAGTGATGCAGAAAAGTAAAGACCAGTTTTTCCAACTATCAGATGACGTCACCAATCATCATATCCACAGACCAAGCGACGCAGTTGTGCGTCAGACATCTCTGTAGACCACTGCAGGGAATTCAGTGCCTTCAAATAGACTGTTACAAAGATATAAGCATTTGCGTCGTCAGTCTATTTTAATGTGACTAGCTGTCGCATATATGCGACGGCAGTCTATGGGTGGGAACCGGCCGTCGCATATGTGCGTCGCTGGTCCATGTGAATGAAAAATTTCGTACTATTGCAGTAGCGAACGTGTTAAACACAGTAAAATCAATTATCAATTAATTGAGATGGGGACGTGTTTTGACCCAATATGTATGTTAGGTAACTGCGTTGTGTTGAAATAAACTTCTTATAAAAAATAACTAAAGAGCTTTAAGTGGACTGTAATTGTGTGTATTTAGAAAAACAATGAATATAACAGATGTTAATTAAATCATTCGAAATACAAATGTCATAGAGGAAACAAGCAATTATGAGAGTATGGCAAAGAGTATCAAACAATGTATGAGTGAAGTATCAGATTGTTATGGGTGCTCCTATTCAACTAGGCCCTCATGAATTTGCACACTGGTTCAATCATATGTTCGTCCTGCTACAATGCATTATGCCTACCATCTATTGATTACTCAAATTACTATTTAAAGCCATATGTTTTAGTCATCCTTACAAAAGCCATTTTTGATAGGATCGGTGTAAGTAAAAACAGTGGCGCCAGACCTTTTAACTTGATAAACAACCCGTCACCAATATTGTACATATTCAGCTTGATAAAAAAGCTTTACATAATTTTAATTTTGAAAGGAGTGTTTAAAAAATATTCATAGAAAAATTAAGCTCTACACTGAGATGTTATTTGAAAAAAATAGCATAAAACATAAGTTAAATGTTTAAAAACAGAAATAAATCATCATTGATTTATTCTCTTGTATAAACATTCTTTCAGTTTAAGATTATTCTTTATAACAAATTTCTAACGAAGTTTTATCTTCCCTGAATGTGATTCTATAATGTAATGCTGTAATGCCATCATATACTGTCAAGAGACTTTTTATCCCAATGGGGCATTGGGGTTAGTTGTTTATGTTATTTCTACAGTAGGCAAAGTAGTGTATTATTGAGATTTAATAATATAATTTGTATGCTACTTTTTTATTCTTTTTACAATTGATTTGTGTTATCTAAAATCAATATATTTAAACAGTTAGGGCAAAATAGTTTGAAAACATTTTACCCCAGGCGAACTATGTTGACTAAAATCATTCACACTAGGTACTTACTGAGTGTATATTAATTATATTTACGTACAACTGTTTTTTAAACTAGCTTTTTCAATTCAGTTCTTAGAATTCTTAGAGACAATTTTTGTCCAGTCAATTTAGACCAAAAAACTACCACTTTCTTAGCTAGTTAAAAGCATCTGCAAAGAACAAGAAGTAGAAAATTTGTATTGGCTGTTTTAAAGGATGAATGCTAAGCTCTTAATTGATTCATTTTACATAATTTAGTGTATACAGGGTGATTTGTACTCAGTGTGACAAAATTTTTTTGGTGTAAGTACAAAGTAAATGAAGTGTGATGATGCATATCAAATGTTCCAAGTCTCAAAATTAGCGTCCCAAAAAATTGTTTTATGTTTTTCAAAAATAACCATGTTTTTAAACTTAATACAGCGATTTATCAATTACCTGTATATGGATTTGAGTAGATAATGTCATTTTCGTGTTCTACATTAAATTTTGAACAAGAATAATAGAAAATTACGGAGGATCAGTCGTATAAACTCCATTGTAAATAGATTCAAAGATAAAAATTAAGATGTTTGATAAAAATTTTAAAAAGAATGGTCTATTGCATTTTTCACACCCTGTATACAAGAAAGTGTCGGAATATGTTAAAAACTGCGCCATTTTATAAGCTTTCCAACGATATGCTACACTATTGAGGTTTATGTCTGCTTATGTACGCTTTAATAGTTTGAAGACTGCAAAGCATGGTGTATTTAACATTTAAAACATAGAAAGTCGGCATGTAAAGCAAAAGTTGTATTTTTGATTCAGCATGAACAGTAAAAACAGTAAAAAGTTCCCTGTTTTCTGGTATTCAAACCACTCTTACAAACAAAAAAATATCTAAACCTCAATAACGTAGGTTATGGTTGGAAAGCTTATAAAATGGCGCAGTTTTTAACATATTCCGACACTTTCTTGTATACAGGGTGTGAAAAATGCAATAGACCATTGTTTTTTAACTTTTTATCAAACATTTTAATTTTTATCTTTGAATCTATTTACAATGGAGTTTTTACAACTGATCCTCTGTCATTTTGTATTATTCTTGTTCAAAATTTTATGTAGAACACGAAAAAGACATTATCTACTCAAATCCATATACAGGTAATTGAGAAATCGCTGTATTAAGTTTAAAAACATGGTTATTTTTGAAAAACATAAAATAATTTTTCGGGATGCTAATTTTGAGACTTGGAACATTTGATATGCATCATCACACTTCATTTACTTTGTACTTACATCAAAAAAATTTTGTCACACTGAGTACAAATCACCCTGTATATGTTTAATACAGTTTAAACTAAGGTTAGTAATGTGGTCCGAATAAATTGCTTATAGATTTATTGATCAAATAAAATAAAACTTGATGGGACAAATATTTATCATTCACTCTGTGCGTGCTCTCGTGTTGTCATAGCCACAGGCACTGGTACTCTAGGACTAATCATATTTACATACCACATTCTCTTCATGGCAGTCTTCAAAAAAGTGTGCTTAAGCCCCTGTTCATTTTTTTTACATCCAAAATAGAAACTTTCTATATCGAGTGACAAAAATATATTTTTCCTACAGTCACCCGACAAAGTTGGCTTCCTTGTACTGTTTATAGTACAGAAAGCTGCTAATTGCTGCATATTTATACTTTGTCGTACGGTTTATACTTTGGCGCACATCAGGATTCCAACGAAACAACAAAAAACAGCGTGGTTCTATTATGCACGTAATCCGTGTACGCTTGGAAATAGGTTGGCAACACTTAAAGATAATAATACTATGAGCAGCTAATTGACTATTATAACTACAATTTAACCTGTCATTTTGTGTTTATAGTTTCGGTATTTCTGAACTTTCTAGGCTTTTCTTTTAAACGTTTTTAAAACATTCCTACGATCTTAATAAACAAGAAAATACCTTTAAAGAATTTTTTTTAGGCGCGGAAACCACTTCAAATTATAAAAACATACGGAACTATATTCTCAAGTCGCGGAGCACATTTCTTGCTGAGGAAAAATAGCGGAGTGATACGGACCGGGTACTACTTTCTCTAGGGCACCTATTTGTGTTGCCAGCTGAACCTAAAAACGTGTTGTATAGTGTTTGAAAGACTAATTATTTATATGCTTTATAGTGACTGTAAGAAAAATATAATGTGTAACACGAGTGAAAAAGGCCTTTGCTGCACTTGAGATCATTCCGTAAACATTGCTCTCGTGTGCAGCAAAGTGCCACTTTGCCCACTAGTTACACAAATAACTATTTTCTACACAGTTAAAGCACATTAGTTCATGGTTTTTTTAAATCAATTTCAAGGAATTAATTGCTTGAAGAGTAAAAAAAAGGATCTTACGTAGAAATCAAAATATGTATTTGGTGATGGAAGCGATGAAAGCCCTAAGCTATATTACAATATTGCAGGTCTAATACAATTGTACTAAACCCTAAGGTGATGGATTAAACACACTAATATTTATCGTTGTTGAGATGTGGCACACCCATTAAACAGGTGTTGGTTGAGACATGATAATCTTAGCTGTATCACTATACAAATCTAATTTTTGGATTTTACAGACACTAGCTGATGATTAATTTATAGCAGCGTCAGTTTGGCAAGAGTCTACTAATGTTTCATGTGGGTCATCAGTTGTACTTTCTCACATGACTCGGTAATTTTGGTCTATACCTGGATAGTAGGTCAAACAATGACAGTGAAACTAATATTTAAAAAATATATATATTTATCTTTTCTTGTACAGGCAAGGCTTTAAAGTCAGTTCTGGAATGTTCCTTTTTTTCTTTTTCTTACTAGTGTTTGAATTCTTTTTGAAGTCCAAGAAATAAAATAAATTGTGAGACAAGTCTTGAGAGACAGCTTCGAAACCCATTCTTTCAACACCATGGATGAACTGGTTCAAGTCTTCAAACCTACTTTCAATCTCAGCTATTTTCATTATGCCTCTGGAATAACAAAACAAAGTTATAAGCGAGTCTGGTGAAACAAAAAAGCTGTGACCAAGCAAGCTGGTAATATCATACCCTAGAAACGTTTTTGCTACTGGCTATATGGGCTATTAATTAACAACTGTGTCTAAGGAATATGTCGGCCTTAGTCAATAACAAGACTAGAAGATCCTCATCCTACACTCATCTTCATTCATAATTGGCTTAAAATACCTACATTCATATGGTCGGTCACCCTTTTCAGAATAAAGTATTATAGTGTTCTTTACACCTAACATAACTATTACAACCAATTCCTACCCCTTTGTAACAATTGTTTTTAACACAGAAGACTAGCTAATAGCAATTCAAGGGAAAATTAGCACTACCCTAAACTTTGAATGAATCACGTTTTAAGATTACATTTCTGAGGTCAAAGGAGTCAACCCTCACATAGGTTCATTAAAGTCGTAAGTTTACAGTTTTGAATGGGGAAAGGTATTTGGATGAAGGAAATGTCCTTAAGGTGTGGGGGACGTGGTCGCTCAGTAATTTTTTTGAGCCAGTGACCTCAGAGAAATTTTACATGCAAATCATGTTGTGACTGAGATTGCCGAACTGAACTTGCCACATCTTCAAGAGTACTGTAGACAATTGTAAACACTAGTCCAATAAAGCTTAAATGCACAAGCAAAGTTTTAAGTTCAATCACTTGATGGGAACTGTACAACCGTGAATAAATGTACGCCTTCTTGAAACTCCCAAAGCCATTTACAAAAAATAATTAACAAATTCATGCATTTTTTCTATAGGTGTCTGCCAACTGTCAATGGATTTTATTGGGGGTTGACCTCCTTCCCACAGAAACCTATTAACGGAATCTACATACTCAGTGAGAGAATAGGGAGAATACTTTTTTTCTTACATTGCTTACAAACAGTAACCATAATAAACTAATCGTTGTGTAGTGGTGGGAACAGCTAGAATGTAGTCAGGGAAGTTAAGAAGGGACACAGTGGTAGTTTCATATAAGCTAGCTTGCTTAGCTGAGACTGCAGCTTGTTGGATATCTTAATTTACGGAAACCCTTGTACGAAGTGGTAATTATGTTTTGAAATTTATTAGATGATCAGTTAATTTTGATTATACTCCAATAATAATCCGACCCAAAAGCAGCATTGGGGTTGATCACGGTCAATTTCAATTACCCAACAATTATTTACATTTTCTACTACACTTTCAATCTTAAATAATTGAATTGATAATTGATTGAATGACTGTCTTTTATGTCAATACAAAGTAAGTTTAGATAGGTAGGTATATATTTGAGGAGCTGTTATAAGTCTTTCATCTAGAACCCTACGTAAGGTTAATCACCGTAAACCATACTTTTTCTTAATACTTTTCATTGAAATGGCAACTGCATAGACTGCAGGTCTGTAAAACTTTTTTGCCAGATTATGAAAACCATTACGTAATCTACATAAATCTAGAGGACTTACTTCTCCTTGAGGACTCTATTGGCCTCGCGCATGTAGTCCACCAGGTTTGTGCCCATGAGAGATAGACAGAACACCACGACGTCACACGAAGCGTCACCTAGGGGTGTGCGGGACATGTCACACACAGTCACTTGCGGGTTCAGGCTAACCAGGTCTAGAGAGTGTACAGTACATGGAAGTGCCTCTGCCAACTTGGCCTCACCACACCCGAAATCTGCCACCACAAGATCTCCACTTTTGGCCCTGCGAAGACAAGAGAGTTAATAATTAAATAATAGATAAACGGATTTAATAACTTCTTAAGGTGTTATTAATTTAACATAAATTAAATAAAAATATGTCTAGTAATATATAGAAAATACACTCCTATTATGATGACAGAGTAGGTGAATGACAAGAATATTGAATGGCGTACCTACTTATATCCTATTGGCTACCGGAAGTTCCTGACAAGCCTGCCACCTTTTATATATATTTACCGTCTGGTTAAATACAGTATAAGTGTATATGTTTCAAGTGTTATGATATTAATTTTTATTAAAACGTTTTTATTAGCTCGCTTTCTTGTCCGGTACAAATTTTGGAATCAATTTTATACTAACTTCCCGATGACCTAGAGACTTGAAACTTGAAACATAGCTCACAAATGGAAGACAATGCAATATTATATAATTTAATTTTCATATTTCCCTTGGGCTACACCCCATGGGCTTGTTTTTATTAGCTCGCTTTCCTACAAATTTTGATATCAATTTTAAACGAAGTTCCTGATGAGCTAGAGACTTGAAATTTGAAACATAGCCTAACCTACAGTCAATGGGGTACACCTATAGTATCGATAGTTAAACCAAATGGGGATATTCACCCAACACACAACTGCTATATTGTTATATTGTATTGCTATATTGTATTGTGCTGTATTGTTTACTTTGTGCTGATTACAAAGTATCAGTTAATAAGACCTTGGAACCTGATCATTATCCAATTCCAACCTTGGACGACATATTTGCAAGCATGAGTGGCTGTAAGTATTTTTCGGCTATTGATATTTCTCAAGCGTATTTAAACATTCCAATGGACAATGAGAGTGCCAGACAGGCCATTAGCACATATAAGGGTGTATATGCTGTCAATAGACTCATGTTCGGAATCAAAAATGCTCCAGCTGAGTGGCAAAGATTCATCTCTCAAGCTCTAGACAACATTCCAGGTGTTACGGTGTTTTACGATGACATTAGAGTTGTGAGTAAAACGTTAGAGGAGCACAAAGATCGGCCAAATGAAGTTTTCAGAAGGTTATCCAATAATAACTTGTGAGTCAATAGTAAGAAATGTAATTTATTTAAAGCTAAGATAGTGTATTTAGGGCATGAAATATCAGAAAAGGGTATTCACAAATGTAAAGACAAAGTGGAGGCGGTAGTAAATGCTCCCCGACCGACCAATAAAGATGAGCTTAAAAGTTGGTTGGGTCTCATTAACTATTATGGAAGGTTTGTCAATCGTTGCACCCTTTGTATGAACTGACCAGAGGTGGTAGAAAGTTTACCTGGACCTCAGATTGTGAGAAATCTTGGCTTCAAACAAAAAAGGAAATTGCTTCAGATAGAGTTTTGGTTCCATATGACCCTAAATTACCAATTATTCTGTCAGTTGATGCCAATCCAGTAGGGCTTGGAGCTACTCTTTCACACGCTCTCCCGGATGGATCAAAAAGACCAATGTTTCGCTTCTCGCACTCTTACGCTCACGAAACGGTCGTATTCTCAAATCGATAAAGAAGCTACAGCAATCTTTTGGGGTGTAAATAAGTTTTTTCAATATGTGTTTTCCAAAAGGTTTATTTTAAAAACAGAAAATAAACCGCTTGTTTCTATCTTCAACCCCGCGAATTACCACGAATGACTGTGCAAAGACTTCTAAGGTATGCTATATTCCTGCAAGGTTTTGACTACGAAGTTATATGTAAAAACTATGTAACATAATGTTAGTTTCATCTATATAATTAATACGCTACATGAAACTTTGTCGGTTGAACTCCTCCGCCATTTCTTAACAGATTTTATCCATTGACGTCTCATTGGAAAGAGCGTGTCGCGTAGATTTGCAAACTGGCCTTACATTTTTGAAAAAGTCCCTTGGGCTCTGCCCCAGTGGCTTTGAAAGTTCCCATGTAATCCTTATGGAGAACATAATTGTTTACATTTTGATCAGCTGTATAATTTAATTGCTGTTATTTTTCAATTCAATGAAACGCATTGAGTACATTTATTTACTATTTGAGTTTATGTAAACATAACCCCCAAGACGGATCGTGTTAGTATGGTTGTATCTTAAAGTTGTGTATATCATTGTTTTGTGTCGCTATGAAGGATCGTGTTAGTATGATTGTAACTTAAATTTGTGCATTTATCGTTGTTTTGTGTAGCTATAATTTGTTTATTTGTTGTTGTTTTTTTCTTTTAAATGCCTCCGACGTGACGACAACGAAACATAGACAGGAGGCGTAATCGTGATAACGACCGCAGCTACAGAACCGTGGCGCGTAATAGGCTTAACTCATCACAGTCAGCACCTGACCCTGGACAATCTCAACTATTAGGTTACAAATGCTCCCTAACACTACCCCAAAACGACTTTTCGTTCTCAATTGGCCCTCTATCAATGACCTGTGTTGCCTGTACAGCGAGGCATTTTGAGAAGGAGAAAACCGGCAGGAATGCTTTAGGTTTATCAATAACGAAGATAAAAATGGTCTGAGTTACACACCGGTAATCTTTGAGTTGACTCTTTTAAATTAATGGTAAATATGACTGTTATTCGTTTTAAAATAACTCCTGTAATACTTTGCAATTGCTCGAATTCGAGCAACATGTACACTAGTTTTATATTTAAAACGGTTCATCAGTGTAACACCTTAACCATCTGAGCTACCGTGTCACCGTCGGCAGAACACAACAAATGCCACTATAAGCACTACGGTACCGCTCGCAGGTGAGATTCAACAAAATAAACCCTGACCTATACTCGATCTTAGGTTTTAAAGTGTTAAATGGTATTTTGCACTTTACTCAAGAACCAGAAAAGATGGAAGCTTTTTGTTTTTAAGGTAGGTAGTAATTTTGTGTACATTTTAACAAAAGAATATAGGAAAGTAAAAAGTTGAATCTATAGGCTATGTAATAAAATGCATGAAAAAAATGTCTAATAGCAATAGCCCAAAACCTTGATTTAAAAGATTCATTGCTAGGAAGACTACATGAAAAATGTGTGTTGCCACTCCAAAAAATCAAACTCAACCAGTTTGAATATAATGTGTTGGCTCAAATAGAGTCATGCCGCTCTCTCTGTGTTCCTTCTCATTATCAAGTAGGACTACGTATTTGTTTTTTAGGCACCATGACGTGCAGCACCGCGTGTGTTTGTACCCTAAGGGGTTTATACAGTTTATTCACTTACCTCTTTTTAAGGGACTTGATAATAATATCCACAGGATTGATGGGCCAACGGGCTACTTGCTGCCTGTAACCTTCATGGTAAGCCTTGAAGGCAGACGGATCTTCTGAAAACATCTTTTCTGCCCCTTTACTCTCAGCATTGTATAACTGCTCATTCATGTACCTGTGATCATTTCCAATGCATTAATCATAAAAGTTGTGAATACAATAAGGCTCATTTAACTGGAAAACAATAATAAGTTAATGAACCAAACTGTAACGGCTAACCAAAACCTACACAATAATTACAACAAAATTTCAGGGCAGATTAATAGCATAATGTTTGTTAGTTATTACGGTAAATAAGCCTACTATTCCTTTAAAATCCTTGTTTCCAAAGTTTAAAAAACAGGGATTCTTAAAACTATAGTAATCTACACATCTGTAAAAAACTCAGAACAAATTTACCCATTCACACAAAGTATGTTATGAAGTCATGAAGAAAGTTATATTATATACAAAATAATAAAGCACAGGTACAATTCCACAGAGAGCCTACTAGGCATATATGAAATATTAGTTTAACATAAATAAGGTTACCGGTATATATATATATATATATATATATATATATATATCGCTTCAGATATAGTTATAACGTGATATACAATGTCATTGTATACATATTAAATAACTTAAACTGAATATTTTAAGTTAGGCCTAGGCTATATGGTATTTTCAAGAAGACTCTTTCACAGGGTACTGCCGCAGTTAGTTTAAGCCTAGGTTTTTTTATTTTTTTACTTCAGTTTGCTTCTAGTTTAGTTTACGATAATAACAAACTAGGTGACATAGTAGAAACATAAGTTGATGTTCTATTTTTTCAAGAGTGTTCAAGAGAGTTTCAAATGTCAAAAAGTGGCTCCCTTAAGTTTAAAGCTAGTTTAATAAATAAGGCCTATATAGATTTTCAACATTTACATACCTGAATTTAGCCGCTTTTAATCTCTTGAGCATTCTCTCTCTTAAGGAACAAGCCTTACTGTTTTTGAATTTTTCTCTTTTCCCAACAGGTGTTGTTGTAATTGATGGTGATGGAGAGTCAGTGATTTTATTATACTGATTTGTAGAAACGTTCAGCAGATAGTTTTTAGGATTAGCTATTATTTTGTGTACACTTGTTTTTAAGTTTAATTTGTGTTTTATCATGGCTTTATTAGGAGTGTATGATGTGCTCGGAGTTAACAAAGCTTCATTGTTTCCTTTGGAATTCTTCAACATGGCTGTAGACAGAGTAGTCACTATCTTTTTCCCTTTCTTCCTCTGAGTTGTTTTCGTTTTTGGAGACGAAAGTTTTGATTTAGGTGACACATGCTTTAGGTCTTGATATTTTGATTTTTGTTTTTTACTAACTGACAGATGGGAGAACAATCCAGTTAGAATGCTTGGCTTTACTTTACCCATGACCTGACCTAAAACAGTATTTTTCACAGATTTGTTCAATTTTACCTGAAGTAATTTAGCCTAAGTTACTATGGAAAAACATTTTTATCAAACTCATTACTTTCAAGAATTTTGTGGTAGGTAGGCTTAGTAAAACTTAGGTCAGTGTGAAGCGGAACACATTGACCGCACTAATGAGTTAACTTTCTAGTATGATAGAATAAGATGATAAAATTGAGTAAAAATTCAAGGCTTTTCCCTAAAATTTGGCATCAATCAAAATGAGCCTAGGCCCTACCGGAGATTTTTTAGGTAGACTTCCGTATCTGTTGTCAAAAACAACCAAATAAAAAGTTATTCAATATGTATTGATTGTTTAATTTGATGTATCGTTTGGTTACCTAACTTACCAAACGATATATCGAATGAAATAATCGATACAGCACATCAAATAATTTTTCATTCATTGTTTTTTCCAACAGATACGGAAGTGTAAGTTACCCGATTTGTTTTTATGTTGTGATATTATTATTATGTTCGGGTACACTTCCATATCTGTTGGCACAAACATCAATGAAAATATTGATCGATAGGCTATATCGTTTGGTTAGTTAAGGTTAACCTAACCTAAGTTAGCTAACCAAACGATATATCGAATTAAACAATAAAAAAAAACAATATTACTCATTCGGTTGTTTGTGCCAACAGATATGGAAGTGTACCCCTCAAATTAACTAAGGCAACAACAACAAAGGTAAATCTATAGGTAAGGCATACAATTCAAGTTCTTGATACTGGGATGGGCCTAACAAAAAATCAGTTGAGTTTTTATATTTTAAGCCTAGACTACTCTCCATAACTTATTTGAGCCTTGGGCTAAGACATACAAACATAGGATATTAACTTAACTATATAAAATATTTTCAACTCACACATATTTACTTCCAATGGCTTCTTTAGGCCTAGGACTCTTAACTCGTGTTTCTAACTCTAACCTCAAACTTACCTTGCTTGAGGTTTTTTTAAATACTTACATGTGTAGCGACAAATATATGAGTATTCCTGAAACCTTTAATAAAAAGGTTTACTTTATGAATATGAATAAAACCAATGCGTTAAGTTTTAGCAATAATTTTGCTTCAAAACTAGTGAGAGTGAGAGGCTAGGCTAGGCTAGTAAATACGGAAGAACTCAACTAACTGACAAAGACAAACAAATTTGAAATTAAAATTCAAATAATAAAACAAAAACAGCTCATCTCAACAGCTGTTAACAGACAGCTGTCAACAGACACTCGACTTGAGGTGAAGACAGACCAAAAGAATTGGGTAAGATGTCATACCTTATAATGGCATTGCTTATAATTGCGAATTTGTACCATATCTATATATATAATACGTGAAGCAGTTTTTTATGTGGTATAGCTTATAATGGGAAATTTAAGTTTTTTCACAGCTTATAATCGTAGACATGTGGTATAGCTTATAATGGTTTTATTAAAAATGTAGCATAGCTTATAGCATAGATAAAACATACTCCAGGGGCCCATTTCATAATAAACTACAAGTTACAAGTTACAACTTGTAACTTGTAATTTCCATTAGATTTGCATTGGGCGATCAGCTGATTTACTAATAATATTAGTTTGTACTTTATTATGAAATGGGCCCCAGGTAGTTAAAGGCGGCCGTGTTTTAATGGTACAGCGCAAATGTGCTGCCAGCTTATCAAATCGAGTTTGTTCTATAACTTATAATATCCAAAACGTGGCATAGCTTTATTTATTAGGTAACCGAAGAGCTTAATTCAAGCAACAGGTGGACTGATTCTATCTTTTTTTTTTTCTTGGAGAAAATAGGAAGAGAGAGACTGCTCTGAAACAGAGGAAGAAGAGGAAACTAATTGTCCCTGAGGAAAGGGAATTGAAGAAGCAATTCAGATCAATGAATGGTCCTCAACTATGTACATCCAAAACACCTGATACCGAAACAAAGGAAAACCACAGCAAACTAAAGATTGTTAAACCTAATAAGAAACTTGCAAATGCCAACTCAAGTGACGATACTGTGACCAGTATTCTTTAAGAGACTCTGATTCAGATAGGGATCCAGAAACTTTTACTGACCTGGGGCCAATTTCATAATTATGTACAAACTAATATTATTAGTAAATCAGCTGATCGCCCAATGCAAATCGAATGGAAATTACAAGTTACAAGTTGTAACTTGTAACTTATTATGAAATGGGCCACTGGAATCGGAGATAGATCTACAACCAGACGAAGTGACTTACGAACCTCCCCCCCCCAAAAAAAAGGATTCTCTAAATAAGAGCTTAAACCTGATGTTTACGTAATTGTTGAGTTCATCTTCAATAAGAACATAAAAAAAGAAACCCCCATTCTATGGAGTCGTTCTTGAAACTTGTTTTGAGAAGAACGAAGTTAAGGTGAACTTTTTTAGAAGAAGCTCCAAATCAACAGAAAATGACTATATATTTCCTATTGTTGATGACGAAATGGACATTAAATTAACAGATGTTATTTCAATTGTTCAGCCATCCAAAATAAACAGAGGACGGTACTTTTCCTTATAAACTAACGCACTGAACCTAAATAAGAGTCCCGGTAGCTGAATTTTTATTTCAGGATTAGTGTTGCCTACACTTCTCTGTGCCTACAGCATTATTTTGAGGCTTCTGATTGGCTGAGGGAACATCATTAACGTGACGATACGGTTGATGACAACTGCCTCGGTGGTGTACTGCTAGGCTGATGATCATGTGATGATCCGAAGGACCCAGGTTTGAATCCCACCCACAGCACTATTTTTTTGTATTGGATTTTTTCATTATCAACAAGTTTGCTTAGTTTGGTTAGGTTATGGCGGTTTAATTTTGTAATTAAAACATTATGAAATAGAATTTGACCCATTTATAGTTTTATTTTATGAACAGAAATATTTTTTCGGTTAAACCTTCATTTGATTTTTCATTGTTAGCAAGTCTGTTTAGTTTGGTTAGGTTTTGATAGTTTAATTTTATAATAAAAAAATTATAAAATAGGATTTGAGGCATTTATAATTTTATTTTATGAACAGAACTATTTTTTCGATTAATAAACCTTCATTAGATTTTTTCATTGTCAGCACGTTTGGTTGGTTTGGTTGGGTTATGGCGGTTTAATTTCATAATAAAAAAATATAAAATTGAATTTGAGGCATTTATAATTTTATTCTATGAACAAAAATAATTTTTCAAATTTTACTAAACCTTCGTTATAGTCAATCAGAAGCCTCTAAATGACACTGTTGGCAAAATTAATCCTGAAAAACAAATTGTGCGTCCCGGTATGTGAGTTTTTTTTCGGTTCAGCAAAGATTGCACTAAAGATTTGATTGTTTGTGGATGTTCTAACTAAATGTACAGTATTCAGTACTGTAGCACTTAAACTTAGTCAAGATAATAAAAGTGTATGTTTATGTTTAAAATTGCATACTTTTACAGAGTTGTTTCTTATTTCAGAGATAAAATGTCTATGGTTTGTAAAAACATGTTTTTCGTCTTGGTATGTAGACGAGCCATTAAAAGAGAAATAAGGTAAATTCCCTGCTTGGGGCTCTGCCCCAGTGGCCTTTTAAGTTTCCCCTCAGATTTGTTTACATTATGACCATATGGCTAATTTTATACTACTTTATAATGAAATAGCTGTGTTATAAGCATTTAATGAATCTGTCAAAAATGCAACTACATATATTGAATGTGGAAAATCTCAATATCAAAGAAACAGTCAAACTTCTTATCATGTTAACTTAATACATTAATTGTTAATGCGTTTAGTACCTTTTTAACTACATCATACATCACTAACTAGCATACATCATTTATGCTATTATAGAAATGACATTGGACAAAACTATTGTCAAACGTATGTTTTCGATCATTGGGAAGAATTTTATTTTGTCGTACAATAAAAAGTAATATTTTGCCGATATGAGCCATTCACGTTTTAAATTGTTTTTGAAGTTTTTTGTGGAGAACTTTCTACAATATATGGAAATTAGTCATGTAGCTGACAGGTTGTATTATACTGGAGATTTTCACACGGGTTACTTGATGAATACTTGTTTAATGTAAACATAATAGATACCTACTAATAACTATGACTCTTAAGGATCCTTTGACAATTATTTGACTAGCAATTAAGTTTGTGTTAGATACCAGAGCTACCCGACAAGCATTATTGAAACATTATCAAAGAATTTGGTCAAAAATGTATCAGGCAGAAGACTCAAAATATGAGGAGATTATAGTACATCAAGCAGCAGCCTCGAAATACCAATAATGGCAACTATGTAAAATTGTTCAAACTCAATAACAGAAAAAGTCCAAGCCAACCAAACAAAAAACCAGCTTTGCTCTTGAATATTTCAAACTCATTTAAGCATTAATAATGATCATAACATTGATTATAATATGAACGAAGCCTATAGCAGAAAAAACGATACATTTATTTGTACAATAAAGGTTTGTAGACCATATACTTGGGCCAAACCTTAGATTTACAAAGATTTTAAATTGTAACACCTTGAAGTCTTTGAGCATAATAGAATGCTTTAATTTGAAGCTGGGTATATAATGTATGAAGCCAAATGATGGTTGAACATTGCTACTGCTCGTGACTTTTGGTGTTATAAGAAAGAAGTACCGGGGGACCGAGCCATGGCTTGGTTTGTTTATTTCGATTCTAAAAGCAATATAAAGGAAACTCGCGTTTTCTTTATAACTAATTTCGGCTTTTATTATTTATGTATCAGTGGAATTTAAATTTACTTTTATGGAAATTTTAACTAGGCAATCCAACACATTAGTTTATTTTAATCCTAACACATTTCTTACGTTGTAAATAAATAAAACAAATAAAGAAGTATTTTTTTATATCAGTTCCTACAGTAGGAATTAATATGCTCAATAGCGTTAATACAGTAGTATAGCAATCAGCTACAATAGCGTTAATACAGCATAGTACGGGGTGTGATTTTGGTACTACTGTAAATTAAATTTTTCTTTAAGTATAAGTAAAAACTTCAGCATGAGCATACTCTCTAAAATACTATTATTATTATATAATGGATTAGCTGAAGACAGATAAGTTCGATTCAAGCTTATATTGTTTACTGTAAAGATTATTGTAATACAATAATTAACTTTAATAGTATATAACTGAATACAGCTGTCCAAATAATGTAAACAATAAAAGAGTGAATAATTTTTTTTTTAATCTACCCTTAAATAAAGGTAAAAGTGAAACATTGAGTTGACGCTCAAACAATCAAGTTGACTCAAACATCACCAATACTAAACACCTTTCCCCAATCCCCAATGTAGAGTTATCTTCAGTCTAATCTTTGCTCAATACAGTAGTTACAACTGATGTTTTCCCTTTGTACTGTATTTTGTAATTGGCTAGTGTACTGATTGGCTGGATGGCTTTATATGTTGTAAACACATGTTACAAGCGTTTTGTTTACTTTTCCTTGTTATTTTGTTCAATCAACATACAGTAGTTACTTAGCAACCCATAAAGCCAATGTTAAATTTTTGAATAAGTTGTGTAGCGAAATACGAAGTTTCTTGAGGTAGTGGCTGTCACCAATCACGTTTTTAGGACTATAAGTCCCTAATTCCAAAATTTAGTAAAAATCCTTCAGCTTGATTTCGAGAAATATATTACAGACAGACAAACAGACTTAGCTCGTATATTTGCTAATTGCTCTTAGTATAGGATAGAAAGAGCTCATGAGCCAGAACGGCTCAAGGCGGGCTGCGCGTGTCACCAGATAGCCTTGCTGTGCCGCGGGCAAACCACAAGAGTCAAATGTCTCGACCCCGACGTCTTGCCCTCGGCCCAATATTTTACAATATCAGATGCCTAATTTATATGCCTGATTAAATCTTAAATGAATTACTGAATCATTCCAAGATCATAACATTGATTATAAAAAGGTTAAACAATTAATTATAGGGTCACAAACATCTATCCGGTAACACAAACTAAATAAGTGTTCGTAGTTATTTTTATTTAAGTTTCAGCAAAATAAGAGGCTCTTTAGTAAACCATAGTTTGTCTTCTGGTATTGAAACCAATAAAGAGTAAAATACATCTTGTAAAATTTATCTTTGAGCTTGATAGAAACAATCAATGGCCAACGCCCTCAAGGCTTAACTGGCTAACTGGACATTGAACTTAGGGTCTACTGACTGCACACTGCACAGTGCACAGCCGACTGATACGTGTATCAAATTGTTGTAAAGGAAGACAATTACTAGACACGTTTGTTATTAGAAAATTCTTTATTACTTTTTATTATTACATCACACAAACTTAAAAACAACTCAACAGATACTCGGAACAAGATAGAACCTACGCTATACAGGGTCATGTCATACATGCTAGACAGTTACAGTACATTATATACATATTGCAGAACTTGCTAGGTGCGCTGGGTGATCAGTTAATGTGGTGAGAATTAGAAAACGGCCGAACTTTCCTCCTAATATCCAACAATACAGTACAGTACTAGTTCAACTTAGTCCTTAGACGTTATTTACATAGTTCAGAATAGTAATTTGTTTTGATGAGGTTAGAAAGTGTGACAACATATAATTGCTTGGCTTTTAACGTGTTTTACAATGTAGGTAAATATCCTAGATATTAAAATTAATTAATAATGTTTATACTCAAAATAAACTACACCTCTTCACGTAGCCTTTTGTTACAGTTTTCTGAAGGGTGATGAAGTATAGGAAAAAGAAAGGCGTGTAAGTAAATTATTATCAAACCATTCATGCGTTTTATTTAGAAGTAAATCACTTTCAACGAAACTAGTTAGGCCAAGTAATTTGGAATTTGTACTTTCGACAGAGCTCATAGATGCAGTCATGAAACTATACAATAATAAATACAATACATATATAAACAAGACATAATTTATTATAACCACAGCTACAGTCAAGCCAACGCTACAGGCGCGTAGTAGTCCTTTTTCGTATCTTTATTTTACATTTTAAAACGAATTTGTTAAAAACTAATCGATTTTGGACAGGAGGGAGGCACATATTTGTAATTCTATATCACAAACAATAAATACAACATTAGCTCTTACATATAAAAATCGTATTAGAGCTATTTGAGTTTGCAATCCTAGAGTGTTTGATATTGTTTGAATTCTGATTATCTTCCAGGTAGGTTGGAAATCATGTTATCTATAAAGATATAGTCAACTTGCTAAGGTAGAGATCATTAGAACACAGTTTTGTGCAAAATATTTACATAATACACAGTTATACCAGCACCAACAAGTCAGGTAGAATGGAGATAGATCTGTAATACAAAGATACCTCTTTAACGCCCTGACAATTTTTCAGAATTGCGATTTAATTTTACCTTTCTTAAAATATGCCTTACATTGGAATGTAATAAATAAATGTACAATATTTTATTTGTCCGCCAAAATCACTTCTGTAAACATTGCATTTAAAAACTATCTACCCTGACATATTTGTCTCTTAAGTCTTATAAGTGCTTTGACTAATGTGATGAACTTGAAGTTTGGGTTTTCTTTTCAGACATTTGAGGCAAAGACTTAATGTAATGTCAATAAGAAAAAAATTCTAAAAGTTACTTAAAAGTATAAGTTTGCAAAATATGAATGGATAAACATACACTCATACTGTGCGACAAGAGATTTCTAATCTGTAATCGGATATCACACTAAGACTATATAATACAGGACTAATAGAAGGTTTCTTTCAATTTTGAAACTCACAGCTGTATAACCAACTACATCGGAGAAAAATGTTTTTTGGGTTACAAAAGTATCACAAATAGAGCCAGCTGATAGTGAGGTTTTGACTTTTCCAGCCGTCATGCCATCGGACCGTCACGTTGTCAGCTGTCATGCCGTGGCACCGTCACGTTGTCAGCTGTCATGCAGTCAAACTGTCACGTTGTCAACTGTCATGTAGTGTAACCATCACGTTGTCAGCTGTCATGTAGTGGAACCATCACGTTGCCAGCTCTCATGCTGCGACCATAACGTTGCCAGCTCTCATGCTGCGACCATAACGTTGCCAGCTGTCATGCAGTGGAACCATCACGTTGTCAGCTGTCATGCCATGGCACCGTCACGTTGTCCGCTGTCATGCAGTGGAACCATCACGTTGTCAACTGTCATGCATTGGAACCATCACGTTGTCAGCTGTCATACAGTGGAACCATCACGTTATCAGCTGTCATGCCGTGGAACCATCACGTTTTCAGCTGAGTCGAGAAGCTTATGTCCACCAGGGTCACTGCAGACGAGGCCAATATTGGGCAGACATATCCTGGCCTGGAACTGCTATGGGAACACTAACTCCCGGAGATATCAGACCTGAAAAATAAAAATAAAATAGTAAAGCTTGTGTTTGGTAGCTATAAAACAATATTATTCCTTATTAGCTTACAAATATAGGCCTACTACTAATAACTGCACGAATGTAAAATATATTCAGAACTTTCGCTCGTTACATAGCTTTGTAAATGTATAAAGTTAAATAGAAGCTAAAAAGAATGACCATCACGAGATAAACAAATTAAACAATGATATACATTTAAGACATTTTGCAATCAAAATCGATTTACCTTAGTATTTTAAAGTATATGTTGAGTTAATAGGATTGACTCTTGTCAAGTAATAGGAAACAAAAAGCAGGAGATGTAATTGGGGAAGAAAAGTGCATATAAGGTGCAAAATAGACGAGTGACGTATCGAAATAATGATGAAAAACCTCCATCATTTTAAGTCAAGCTTCCAAAAACACACTTTTTACTACAATTTATTGAGTTTGGGATAACAAATAAAACCGTGTAATAGTAAATAATGCAGAGTTAGTGCAGAGACAGCCATCTGTAACGAGGCCAAAACGTCAGTACAAGTCATCCGTAGGCTAATATGACACAGCACATTGCATATGTCTAATGACTGACCTGTAGAGCTGGAAGAGTTGGGCGGGTACTGGTGGGTCTGGTAGCCCTGGGAGGGACTGCAAGGAGAGTGTTTGGGCGGACCGTAGCCCTGGAGACTGAGGGGCTCGTACCGCGACATGCAGGGGTACGGCGTGGAGTCCCTCTGCTGGAGACACGCCGCGGGTCCCGGAGACCCTAGACCCTGGCCGCCACCTGTGCCACCCATGCTGAAGTTGGGCATCGACGACATGGGGCTAGAAAACAACAGTGTTAGGTTAGACGGAGAGAAAGACACTTTAGAGCTGTGTGGAGAGAAACTGATTGAATGGGTGTCAAAGGTAAATGTTTGTTTATAGTCTCTTTTAACATTGCATTTTCCCGTACACTTGGATCTCGGGCTAGTGGAACATATCAGAGGAAGCAAGAGGTGAGCCGATACAGTACAAGAATGATCCATTCCGTACGTACTGGTGAATAACGACACCGGGGGTGAATGGGGTGACGTATATCAAGTGCGGCCTTGGGTGAACACACTACATGCGACATCGCTGAAGTCGGTTCAGAAGTCCGTCGCGCTATCGACTCAACTACTATTCGCCAAATTTACCATACAATGCGCTATCCTATTCGTGAACCACTTGGCCCACTACAGTATTTGACAAACAGCATTAGTGTGATGTTTGTTATATTCTAGCTCGAGTCAGGCCAATGCAAAACAGTGCATTTAAAGATTTAGTAAAACCATAGATTAAATGAGTAGACATTTACAAAGGTAAAATGTCTTTTAGAGAAACTCAAATAAAAAAAAAAACTCGCTTGGAACATTCATCTAGATGTATTTGCAATTTAAACTAGAGAAGGTAAAATGTTTCGAAAATTATTAATCAAATATGTCAATGTGTTTAAATAAAGGACTGGATCAGTCATTTAACAACACCACGACAACAAACCACCCTCGGTGGGTTATCTAACCTCAATGTACAGCGTGTGATCCGTGTATCACACATTGTATACAGGGCGTGCAGTTAATCACGGACGTTATCCTGATATCTGGACATGTGTAGCAATGCTCCCTCTATTGATTATGGATTAGCAGGACTGCTTCACACCTCGCCAGTCGTTTGGCACCCTTCCTTCCTTCCTTGCTCACTTCCTTCATCTTTATTCTTCTTTCCACCTCCCTTCTCGCAACTAACGAACCACTTACCACAGATTAGGTTTGATGGTAAATAGGACAACTATTCATCCCACATTTTCTTGCACAACACAAAAATATGCTATTTCCTTCGTGATTTACCTCTATTTTAGTCTAATTCAAGTTATTGAAACTGGGCTAAAACATAAAATAGATATTAACTATGTTTGGGTATGTAGTAGCACTTATATAGTTTGATTCTTTTAAAGTTTATTTTTTAGTTTGGCTTTGCATTGAATAAGATTTCAATGATTGTGTCTAAACAACAAATAATACCAGACATGTATTAAAAACGGTGAGAGCTATTATTATTGAATAGTGTTGTTCTGATTCCAAGTCCTAGATATCAAAACTAATTTTTGTTAATTTTTAATCAGTCGAAGTTGCAGACTTTTTCAAGCCTCTTTCCGACAAGAGAATATTATAACTGCAGTTTATTATCAGCAAAAATCAGTTTGTTTACAGTTTTGTTTTCTGTTATTGAGTAGGGTGTTTTAAACACATTTTATCTTTTTGTGGAATACCCAAAAGTAAAAATAGAATGATATATATGATGATGTATATATATAATGTTATATATAGAATATAGAATATGATGAGATCAACTGGTATTGCGACGTTACACTTAGTTGTGTAGATAAATAGCTTTATTGGGATGTATATGATTGTGCAAGGCAGAAGGTGATGTGTACCTGTAGGAGTCCCCTGGCATGGAGATCGGTGTAGGTATGGCTGGGTACATGGAGTTGTTGAAGCCCCCGGGTGTGATCCTGGAGGGCGAAGACCTGTCCAGAGGGTCGGGAGCCTGGGGGTCGCCTCTCCGTTGGTTACGGAGCTTCTCTTCGCGTCTCCACTTGGCTCGGCGGTTCGAGAACCAAACCTGGAAACAGTCCAAGTCATTATATTACAAGTACACAACGAAAAAAGAATAATGATATGATATATGATTTTTTTTTATATGGTCGTAAGACTTTCTCACATTAATCTCAAATCCTTCACATGTTACATGTCTGCTGAACAAGGTCATATTACAACAAAAATATTTAGTGCAAAAGATTGGTGAGAAAATAAAAGTATAAATAATAAATAAATAAAGGGTATGCATCACACTCTATAAAACTGTAACCAATTTTAAGAAATAATATAATCATATTCACACGAATGATTAAATGCATTGATCCAGAATATGTGACTTTTAATTTTATATTTTCTGTATTTTTTGACATTCATTTTTTTCTTTCTTTCTTTCTGTTTTGTTTTGTTTTCCAACTCCAAACCCTGGCATTGTTACAATTCAAAGTTGGAATTTTGTCGGAAAGTATTACTAATAGTTAGCAATATTACTATGAATGTTGTTGCTATAAATATTCATATTCATTTCAATGATAAGTGGTTGCTGCAATGAGATGTTGAGACCCAAAGTGATCACAAGAACTAAGATTCAACATGTGGAACTGCTGCACAAAAACTTATTTCGGTAGTTGGAAAGTAGATTCTATATAAGTATGCATGCGTGAATAATTATCAAACTTTAACTATTGCTAACAATATTTTTTTGACAGACTGTTGACTTAATATATATTAACTAACCTGTATCCTTGCTTCTGGAAGTCCAATTTTGGCGGCAAGCCTTTCCCGGGCGAACACATCCGGGTAGTGGGTCCGCTCGAACTCTGAATAACGTACATCAAAATAAATAATAACACTTTTTGAAATTACAAGGAAAAGTACAAAAAAAAAACACACATTTTGACAAGGAAAAGCATAGATATATACCCAAATGTGTAATTTTTTAATGACCTTTACTGAACAAGTATAACTACTTAACTTTCAAAATTTGTTATGCTACATAAAAATGTGAATAATTTTACTTTAGTTATAAGGTATTGGATATGTTTAGGATTTACACCGACTTATGAGTACGATTCAATTTCTGTTAACTAGACAATTATTTTATAAATACGTCGGGAAATTAAGCATTTTAAATTTAAAACATTTACACATAAAATCAATGCCGCATCAAGTATTTATTTAAATTTTAGCCAACTATATATCATAACCGATATCTTTGGCTGCAAAACAACACAATACACAAATCAATTGGGACATAACTCCTTTTTACGCCCACAAGTTTAGATATGTTTAAGATACCTCTTAAACGCAGAAATGGGATATAAAACAGCTGATAATAAAGACAGCTGATAAAGATGTCCCGACAAAGGAAGATCAGCTGTTAGAGCTGGTATAAAGTGAGGAATGCGGGAGGGGAGGTCCCATTGGTGGACTTATTAGCCAATCAAAAGCTTCTCTGCGCGATCATCCGTGAAAATGTGTGGCATTTTTAACTCCTCGTAGGTTATTAAATTTTACCCGCTTTATTTGAAATATTTAATTTAGCTGTGGGAGGTAAACTTGGTGTTATTAGATTGATTTTTGCTTTAAGCTTGATGTGATAAAGGATTGAACGGGAAAAGCTATTTTATGCTAAAGAATATTCTGCAACAAAAATATATGTTTTAGACGGATTGTTGTGAAAGCAAGTGCAGTAATATATCAGTTTATATATTTATAAAATTATTGAATTTGTCTTTCACAATTCAATTTACTACTCCTTTTATCCATGCTAATACTGTAGTGCTTAATAGCATTTATTGTAACTGATTTATTTTAAACTAAATTTCATTCGGACTACACGGGTAACAATAGGACCTTCATGTAGTAACTAAAAGATACTAAGGAATACATGCAATGAGCAAAATCTGTGTTGACATTTTAACAATACGATGAGTAATTTATTATTTTTAAATAATTAGTAATTTGGAATATTAAATTTCCTATTCAGTGTTTGTCTGAACATAAAATTGTCTAAAATTAAATTAAATTGTCCAAAAAAACTGAATTTCATTTTCTGTACCAAATAATAAATTGTATTTGAAGATGAAAATAATAATTCTACAGTTGATGAATGTATACAATCATTAGCCAACATTGTATGTATAATTACAAAATACAAAACAAAAAATCTATAATGATTATTATTAAAGGTTTGATAAACTAAAACACACATTATCGAATACTAACTAGACACCACCCAACATAGGACACCACACATTGACACATAGGACTTTTAGACGTTCTGTTCTATACAACCTAAGAACCTAATATCAATGTCTACATAACAACCAGATGTCATCCCACAGATTTATGTATACAATGTTTCTACAAATAACGCAAATCCTACATTTAATTCCGTTATGGCTCTTGAGTGGTACCATTTTACAACATATTATATGGTACAAATAAAATTTACATAAGATAAAATATTATCTAACAAATTAATTTACTGGTGACAAAATTCTAACCTGATCAAATGAATTTATTGCGGTCGAATTCGGTACCTTACACATTATTTAACGTTTAAAACCAAACCACAGTATTGTATTTTGAAACAAGGTTGTTCCATAAGGAAGCGTCTTTCTTTGTGGACTCTTTGCACAATGATAAGTGAAGTATTCAACCACATCGACGAGTTCTGGTTTGCAGACAGAAATGAGGAGTGTAGGGGCGCTGGCGACCCGGCTTATCGAACTCGTAAATTAAGGGGTCATTAGAGTGTCGAGGCGAGTGGAGAAGACTACCTGACATAAGCCTATTCTCCCCAACAGTACTATACCGGGTATTTTGCTGGGAGAAAGGGGTGGTCGAGTAAAGAGGGGCGGGAGAAGGAGAGAGAGGGTGAGGAGAGTGTCTGTGGCGAGAGGAGAACAACACGAGAGCGTGGCCGTGTTTTGTATGCACTACAAGTAGATGCAAAGTAGTTTCTAAACAGAAAACAGAGCTTCCAAGAAAGTATCTATTGATTGGCGTTTGACAATCAACACTAATGCTATAATTATCGAACATTTTTTTCGAACATATGTGTAGCCTATGAGGCGTATATATACAAAAATATTCTTACCTACAGTTGGATATTTTAGCTAGAAGCAGTTAAGGTGTGGTGGAATATCTTTGAAGATGAACCTATTTAGCTGTAGTGCGATCATGTGTTTTATGTGTCAAATTTTGAGGTTAAATCAAAACAAACAAATGGCATGTTGGCAATCAATAATTAAGCATTTAGAGGCCCGGTTGTATTACGGTATTACTTACGAAAGAATTGCCATTAAAGATCAAATGAAATGATTTAGTATATTTCATTGTTTAATTTATAAGAAAAAAATCTGTTTTTAGGCTACTGCATTTTATAAACCAAACTCGAATCTTGCTTCCTTGGCCCATTGTATAATGTTATCCTGTTTGTATGAGGTGAACTTATTTGATTAGTGATTGCATTAATGAATTATCAGCAATACAATTAGCTGTTAATTATAATTTAAATGGGTCAAACCGTGAGTCTATAAAGGTTCATCTCGTCATCTGAAGAGTATTTAATTCTGATCTCTAACATGAAACCCAAAAGGCGAGTTTATATTTAGATGTTAAGATATTTCAAAACTAAACGTAAATCACCATTACTGTATGTCCCAACAGTTATTTTATGTGTATCCCAGTCGCAGCAACCATATTATTCTATTAATATAATGATCGAAATTAACTAACTTATGCAAGAAGATTCAATATTTTAATACTAACTAATATAATTAACTATTATCAAAGCAACCATCACCTATAATTTGGAGAAAATAATTAAGTATCAACTTATTTATTAGCTGATTTGGAGTTAGGAATCACTTCTCTATTTCACAGTAAATATTCTATATATTGCCAAGTAGCTATACAAAAGTAGGCTAGAGTAAGTTTAAAGTATATTTAACTATTGTCAATTCCAAGAATTATTATGTCAGTTTGTTTTTTTTTACTTAACCTCAAAATTTGACAGGTCTGAACACATGATCACACTACTGCCAAATAGGTTCATCTTCAAAGACATTCCACCTTAACTGCTTCCAGCTAAAAAATCCAAATGTACTTGTTATAGGACTTTATTAAAGAACATGGGCAGCATTAGTGTATTGGCAATCGAAACATCATTATATACCGTACTAATATTATAAAGCTGTAAGTGTGTGTTCGTTATTTGTTTGGGACTCAATCAAGAAATGACTCGAATTGGGTTGAAATTTCGCATGATCATAGCTCATTTTACCCATTAATAAATAGGCTGATTATTATTCCAATAGTTTTTTGTGTAACTAGTGGGCGAAGTGGCGCATTGCTGCATACGAGAGAAATGTGTACGCTGTTCCGTGGGCGAGTGTTGAAAGTTTATCGAGTGCGGCAGAGGTAGTTTGAACTCGTGTTACACATATTTTCCCAACAAATCATATAAATCCTACATCTCAAACATTTTAAATTTAAAACAATAACGTAGGCCTAGTAACTAGTCCTAGGGTCTTTCAAATATTTTTTTAGGTTAAGTTAAATCCAAACATCGAACGAAATGGGAAACGCTATGGTTCCACAGACTGCGGAACTTCCGCCATGCGGTGCGTAATTTTCCGCAGCGTAAATCTGGAGGGGTGGACTAACTGCGGAAATAACGTTGCGGAAATTCAATTTTGTCCAAACTAGCAACGAGTAGGGAACACAAATATTTACCATAAATACTATAAAATAACTAGCTGACCCGGCGAACTTCGTATCGCCTAAGTTATAGGTTTCCCCTAAGACAGACAGATGGAAAGAAAGTACCGTTACGTTTAATTTTCAAGATGATCTCGGTTCGCATCGCTCAATCACGTCCTGGTTGAAGTTCGTTCGCTACGCTCACTCACCTTTGGGTTGGAGCTCGTTCGCTACGCTCACTCGCCTCCAGGTTGAAGTTCGTTCGCTACGCTCACTCACCTTTTGGTTGCAAATTAGCTGTTGTCATAAATGTAAAAGAAATAATAGTGCTGCACCCTGTTGGTAATCCTTGTAACTTTAATGCTATTGAACATCATAGAACAGAACCAACTTGTTTAATTGAAACAGCTGTTAAGATTCATTAATTCCATTTCTCATAAGGTTAACATGGGAAACTCCAGAGCCACTGGGGCGGAGCCCTTTTAAGAATTTCGAAACGGGAAATAGTTAACGTCCGATTCGCATACCTACAGAATTTACACACCAAATTTCATAACGATCGGTGAAGTCGTTCCGGAGGAGTTTGCAGACAAACACTGTGACACGAGAATTTTATATATTAGATAGGCTATTAGGTAATATTCAGACTTTATATTTAATTGTGGTAACTTTTATTGTCAACTGATGTTAGACATAGTTCTTAAAAATCACCTTATTGATTTTTATGAGGATGGTGAACATTAATAAAATAACAATTTGAACTTAAATTGCAGTTTTATTGATACACGAATAAAAAATACAATCCCTAAAAAGAATAAGGTTATTTAAATAATGTTAGGAAACTAAATTATCACAATAATTAATAGGATTGGTCACAATAATTAATTGATGGCTCTTCTCCGCTGGCGGAATCCGCACTGCCAATGCTCTCAGACCAGTATGATTTGTCCGCCATGCGGAACCGAAAATTCGGGATGCGGAAACGCACATCAGTGGAACCGCATGGGAATTCCATTAAACCAGTGTCGTTGTAATTCCGCAGCGGAAAAAAAACCCACCGCACAGCGGAGATTCCGCATCCTGTGGAACCATAGCTTAATAGATAAGGCTTTTGTCCAGGTCCCAAAACGCAGCTGCCGTGAGTGGTTTCCTAGACTGCGTACAATACACACGGTTGGTGCGTAAGATAAGTTCACGGGAGAGATTACTAGTGGCTACTATGAGGTTATACGATGATTTAGATAATGAAATGTATACTTTGGTCAGTTTCGAAGAAGCGTAAGCAGTGATAAGTACGTGATTAGTAAATGTAGTGGCCCTCGCGGAAGTTTAAACCGTAATATTAAAGCAAACATTTCAATTTAAAATGTAAAAAATTAATTATAATTTAACCTCTCCAACTTTGCTTTAACTGTTATTATATTTAGGTCTACCTATTCGGAATTTACCGAATTGACGAAATAGTATACTATTTACGAGTATAACTGCAATAAGCATTTCATACTTATACGCCAACCCCGTAAGAAGGACGGGTACTCTGCTAGTAATTAATATACTGTAGGATTATTACTAGGATATTCAGGGGTTCTTAAAATAATTATGGGGGTTCTTATATTTGGGAGTTGGTGTTGTGCTGGCTTGAAAAGAATATTTGTCAACATTAGGTTTATTTACAAATTACAAATATGTGAGGACAAATTAAGTGTAGGGAACATTTAATAAAGGGAATTAAATATTAAAATTACATATAATGTGGGGAATTAACACTACCTAACGAATGATATGAAATGTAATACTATAAATATTTTAATTGTATGAACAACGTACTTACATAATATGATATTTCAACAGACAAATTCAATCTCATAATAAAATAACCTACTCCCGCCGCAGTAAACCTGCATGCAGATAAGCTAATTTCCACTTACCTAGCAAGATTTACACAAAAATATATGTGTTCAATGTATTAAGATTTGACGACATTCAACGAATGTAATATTTTAACGTTCCGTTTTGATAATGACTACGCAGTAGTCGAAACTATAGTCAACGAATACCGACTAAGGAATTGTGGACGTCAAGGTACGTAACCTGTTATAAAAATATTCCCTTAAAACTGTCTAATGATAGTGATTTAATGATTACCTAAGTTTGCTGCTAAAGTGATAGTAAAGAGGTGTGTTTGCTGGTTAAAATGTCGATAGCTTGGTATGAAATTAACAAATTTCCCCGATTGTATTAGGTACAATATCCGTCAATAAACAAGCAAACTACAACAGTTGATTAAAAAAATAAAAATAACAAAAAATAATATTTACTTTACCATTTTTATTGAATTTTATCTCCCCGGCAGGCGTACAACCAACGCTTTGTGGTACTAAATGATTTTTTTATAAGCCCTACAAAATGGTTTAGAAAGAAATAGAAAAACTGTATGTTTTAGGGTCAAAAATGGGAAATCCCTATTTTATTATTTAACGAAAGTTTAAATAATAACCAGTAATAATAATAAGTTTAATAATAACGTTTAAACCACATTTCATCAACATCAGATTATATTTGCTTGAGTTATCGTGCTGACGGACATATATCTAAAAATGTGGACGGGTGGTGTTTTTGGCTGTTATGACCCTTCAAAACGAAAAAGTAAATCGGTCCTGGGAGTCTTTCAACGAGATCCCCGGTAATAGCTAATATCCTATACCTTTGAGTAAGAAATTCGCTTAACAACCTGATCAATTTGTACTGAAACAATAGAAACAAATCAATAGGCATCATTAAACTATTCATCCAAACCCGCGTGATCTTCCAGAGACCGCTCATATATAACTAATTTTTGTTTCAAGGCAAAGCACAAGAAAATTCACAACCGAATGTTGTATATGCAACACTAGTTACTAGGCCTACGTTATTGTTTCAAATTTAATCACCATTATTTAAATGCGGCCAAAATTAAAGATACTTTTATTATGAACTCAACAAGGTATATAAAACTATTTATTGTTCTTATGAAATTGATTGACTAAATATATAATAAATTATATAAAACAAAATTCACAATAATAATGAAGTGATGATAAAATTAAAAAAAAAAAAAAACACAGCTAAGTTATTGGTTTTTATTGTAAAATAAAACAGTGCACTAAGGGAGCAGAAAATATAAAGGCTAGAAACAACTATGTATTAGTAACTATTTGGCAATCTCCTGAGCCGTCCATATATTACTCATGCTAAAGTTTAAGACGGAAAAGAATTGGCTGCAATACATTTGTTTAACTTAATATCTCAACAATAAGAATTCAATTCTAGGAAGGTCACTATCCCATCAGTTGCCCTCTCAGTAACGGAAGTGTTTCCTCCCCAAAGACATTGCCCTTTGCACCCCTCCCCCCACCGGGGCACCAAAGTCATCCTCTTCTCTTACCCACGGGTCAGGTACTTTTTGGGGAGAGAGGTATTCTTGGGGGAAAGCTAGTTGGTGTGCGAACTGAAGCCTAATGAAGCGTAAAAGGGTTCGACCCCGGATTAGGGCCAGAGCTCGCCAGGCTTCCGTTTCCCAGAAATGAGTCTCACTTCAAAGAAAGTTCCAAAGGTCTGGAATTTTAGAACTGTAGGATGTGGTTGACGATGAAATCCCGTTGGAGCATGTCTTTTACACATTTTGCAAGAGACCTGCAGCCGATATTTAAAGAAATCGTGGATTTGAATCCTGCACCTATGTTTCTTTCAATGCGATCCGTTGTAGTTTAATTGTAAGTACAGAGGTGAGCACATTAAAAAAGTTCAACCATTGAAAAAATGAAAATATTTTGTTACAATTTAATTTAGTTCAAAAACGAAAAAATACTATGTAATATTGTTTTACACAATTGGTTATTGATGTAATTAAAGTGGTAAAAGTTGTATACGCGAGGATGTGCTAAAGTTCACTGTATGTGGCGCGAAACCGCTGCAGTTTAAACGAAACTACAAAAGGTCGTTCCTGATAGTTACACATTTAACTTAACCCTGTATATTTTATCTGAGAATCCACCACAATAATCTCTCATGGTTGTATTATAGGATGTTTTATGTCATATAACAGGACATAATAATGTCATATAACATATAAAGGATGCTTATGTCATATAACAAGATTAGTTCTTAATCCTATTCTCTAATACAAGCTATAACTCAATAACTCGGTTATTGAACCAAGTGTAACGTAGGCATTTGCTATGTCTGTTTGTCTGTCTGTCTGTAATTTAAATACGTTTGAAGATATGAAAACACATCTGAATAAGTTGATTCCTGAACTCTAGGAAATGGATATTTTGTGGATAGTCAGTGACATTGTGTAGTTTGTTGTTATGTAGCCATTGACTAACACCAACACAGTGAGGATAGAAGAAGAAGAAGTGTCTGCACCTGTTGTACCTTTCTCGAGACTGTCAATCTGGTCGTTGGTGAAGGAGGTTCTGTTTCGCTGCAGCTTCCTCTTGAGCCGCAGCCGTGCCTGGTCGTCATCCGCCCCACAGGACCCTGGGTTGGAGTTGTCCCCGCCTGAGGTACAGGTCTCGTCACTGGGCACGCCGTCCACCTCGCAGGCTAGGGCAGACAAGGGTAAGTTAGCCGGTTGGGGACCACCAAGAACTTGAAGGGCCTTTAAATGGATTGGGTTTATTCATGTTTTTCTTCCTATTAAACTAGCTTCTAGATTTGCTTCGTGCTGTTCGTTGTTTTATGTTTCAGACTTTTAGCGAATTTCCCATATAGGGAATAAGCTATTACCGTAGTACTCATGGTAAGACCTGGACGCGGGACTGATTTTTTTTTTTCGTTTTGAGGTCCCTAGAGGCCAAAAACACCATCCGTTCAAATTCATATATATATGTGTCCGTCAGCACGATAACTCGAGCAAAAATGATCCGATTTTGATGAAATTTGGTACAAACGTGTAAACGTACGTTTATTCGAACGAGTTCGCGATCCAGCGTGATCGGACCATGGGAACGGGGGTTTACGGGGGTTTACGGGGGGTTTTATGGGGTAAAAATAGGTTTTTCCCATTTTTGACCCAAAAAACATAAAATTTAGCAATTTCTTTCCAAACCATTTTGTAGAGCTTAAAAAAACAAATAATTTAGTATATTGAAGCGTTATTATGCGCCTAATGGTTACGGAGAAAATTCCAAAAAAATTTTAAATTTAAAATTCCCATGTTATTCTTATGGAGAATAAGTAAACTGTTCTAGTTTGCTTGTTTGTGAACATATCTTGATCAAATTTGGAAAATGTTTTTATTTCTTACTAACTATTCACATTTTACAAAAAAAAACAGTTTTACCCTCCCTGATGCAGCAAACCTAAGTACTTGTTAAACTAATTCTATTTAAATCAAGAATAAATGTTATATTTAAGTAGACATTTAAGTGTAAATCCAATCAGTCAAATGGAAATTCGCTTAGTCTGCAGGTTTGCTGCGGCGGGGGTATTTGTTAATTAAATCAAATGAATATAAACAATTGAAGTGTGGAATGGATAGATATATTCCCTAAAGTTTTTTGGTTAATACCAATACCATGTTTTATGTTATTTGCGACAAGTCTTTGCAGTTGTTGCAACTACATTTTTAAATCTGTATTAAACTTAAATTCAGCTTATGGAAAATACTTGAAAATCATATTACAACATAACATTTTAATAAAGGATTAAGGGGCCTCTAATGAAAGTCATGAAGTCAAAAGTTCATGTGATGAGTTAAAACGAACCATCTGTTTGACAGGGTCGTAGTAAGACTACGCTAACACATGTACACAATGGTGTCTGTAAACGGAGTGAACGAAGGGTGAAGATGTAGACTAGGGATCGGGGGAATGGGGGGAGCTTTGCCCCCCAGCCCCCCATCTCCCTGTTATCACGAGGTTTCTGCCTGAGCGCCCCCGGAACGCGCCCCCTCCCCCTGACTTATCTACCCCCTCGGCCCTTACAGTAATGGAAGTCTGCGATAACACGCCGTCTCTCTCATAAATGTTAATATTTTACAACCGGAGGGAAATATTGGTCTAAGTCTACATAAGTTTTGCAATTTATTTTAGACTATCGCAGTTTGATCGAGCAAATTTATGGGCTGTCAGGTACCGGAGAAGTCGCGAGGTGACGCGAATAAGTCAAATTCGGAGGCCCTGTCACTTTCCCAGCCCGGGGATGAAGTTTGAAATCATTTTTCATCTCGAGACTCCTTTGGGTTTCAGGAGAGAGGTATATTTTATTTGTCGGACGAGTGATATATTTAGTGTCCACCCGTGAGCTTTTAGCTTGGGTTTTGTAAATACATATAACCTTTAGTGTTGACAGCAGACGTATCAAGTGATTTGTTCTCCGGTTATTTTTAACAATGTAGTTGGTCACACTAAGTACACTAAATATGAAAAAATTGTGTAAAAATCGTTAACACAAACGGGAGTAAAATGTCACAAATAACAAAGCCTGGTTATCATAGAAGGTAGGTTAATTGTCTTGTCTGGTTTAAAGACAATGCAAATAATTATGAAGCAACAAGGATCAACGCAATTAAGTAAAAAAACCTTTTAGAACTTTTGAAACAAAAAGAAATATAAAACCGTAATTGCTATTCCAACTAAAACCCAACTACTGTACACTTAACGGAAGCAGGTAAGAGGGGGTCGAGTACAAGTAAACGCGTTGAATGCATTTATTCTTGCGAAATAACAGCTCTTTGCTCTGCTGGCCCGTGCCGTGGAAACCGTGTTCAAAACAGGTGAGGGGACAATAATCACTTGATTTCAGCGCATTGGACTCATTGTTATATGTATAAACTGGGAATAATTGTTGCTAGCCGCGACTCGTGCCGTGGCGGAAATGGCGGCCAACAATATGTCGTTTTGTTTCCGCTGACTTCCGGTGCTTGAGCGACCAATGAGGTCGACTTGTCGCAGCCGCCGCACGCCCGCTTGCGTGCCTAATTGTATTTAATTTATTGCAATTGAATAACTTATCGGCCTCTGTTGCTTTTGTTTCATTCGCTGTAGAATGCCGGTTTCTGTGCTCTTCGGACTACTGTTGGGCTATTGGTATGATTTTGTAAAGGATCACTCAATATCGAAGAATAAAATACAGGCTGACTATCAAAGAAGGTAGGTCACCTTGCATTTGTAATCTATTAGATCAAACTATCTACTGTTTACACAGCTAAAGGACAACCCTAATCATCAACTAAACTAATCTATCGTAATTTATCAAATTGCTGTATTCAACACAGAGCGCTAACAGCAAAGGAGTTGTTGGCTTGCATCCCTTTCTCCATTGTTTAAATACCTAAATGATATTATATTCTTAAAAAATATAACAAACCATTATATTAGCAATATCTATATTTATATGACACACAATATGTTTGAAAATGCGATGTATGCAACGCACGCGCTCTAATTGCATCTCTTATTTTCCGAAACAAAGATAAACGACTTAAAAACTATTACAAAATATGATGGAAGGATTTCTGAATATTGTCAACGAATATTCCAAGAATTGGAGAGAGCTGAGACGGTGAGAGGGGGGACTTCTCTTGATTTGCTTAAAACACCGAGTTAAACTCTCCTGAAGACGACAAGCTCTGCTGCAAACGTGTTTATAAGGCTGGCTTCAATTTACATAATTGTGACAGTCGCTTATACTCACACAGTCACATGTGTGCTGTATCAAGACAAGACGCTGTTGAAGGGGGGGGGGGGACTAAACGAGTAAGCTAACGAAATAAGGACGAGGAGAGGTTGTTTTAAATAATTGTGAGAGAGCGAGAGAAACGAACAAAGCGTGAAACAGTGAAGTTGGGCGACAAGTTGATTAGGGAGGATCCGGGATTGTCGTGTGACACACAGTTTTAGCTGGGGATCGAAACTGTGTGACGTCAGAGTCTCAGATGGGACTGAAACCGTGTGACATCAGAGTATTAGATGGGATTGAAACTGTGTGACATCAGAGTCTTAGATGGGATTGAAACCGTGTGACATCAAAGTATTAGCTGGGGTTGAAAATGTGTGACGTCAGAGTCTTAGATGGGATTGAAACTGTGTGACATCAGAGTATTAGCTGGGATTAAAAATGTGTGACGTCAGAGTCTCAGATGGGATTGAAACCGTGTGAAATCAGAGTATTAGATGGGATTGAAACTGTGTGACATCAGAGTATTAGCTGGGATTGAAAATGTGTGACGTCAGAGTCTTAGATGGGATTGAAACTGTGTGACGTCAGAGTATTAGATGGGATTGAAACTGTGTGACGTCAGAGTATTAGATGGGATTGAAACTGTGTGACGTCAGAGTATTGGATGGGATTGAAACTGTGTGACGTCAGAGTATTAGCTGGGATTGAAACTGTGTGACGTCAGAGTATTAGATGGGATTGAAACTGTGTGACGTCAGAGAGTTGGATGGGATTGAAACTGTCAGGATCGTGGATCAGATGTTTTGTGATTTCACAGTTTTAGTGGGAGCTTAACTCTGAGAAACCAGGATAAGTCACTGTAACGTCGCCGTCATAGTTAAGGATCGAAACTGTTGGAACAACGGATAAGGACCTTTGTCGTGTGAGGCTAGTCCCTGTTTTGGGAGGGATTTAGATTGCAAGAGGGTTTAAACTCGATGTGGGTGAAACATAGTTGCAACTCTTGAATAGTGTGACGTAATTGTTACTAGAACAGTACTAATAGAGTATCGTAGTAAGTAGCCTTAAGAGATTCGAGCAATTGATAATAATAATAATAATAATTGGTATCAGGCTCTAACGTAATAAAAATATACAGGGTGTTTCGAAACTCTCTCCCGAAACTCCGTGGTCATGTTCCTTAGGAGAAAACAAACAAAAAATATCGTATAACATATGCTTTATCTCGCCTAGTTTTCCATCTGAGTCAAATCGTACATAAAAAGAGGCTAAAATCGCAAAGCGTGATGTATTGCTGCATTTTTAATATGTTGTTGGGACCAGTTAGGGTAACTCAAAACCAAGTTTGCAGCTTTGAGATCCCTGTGCTCCCTGCGTAATGAGTAAAATATTACAAAATGAATGTATTTTTTAAGTTTTTGGTCTATAACTTATTAACAGTGCATTTTTCTTAATACTACTTAAATGTAATAATTAAAGTACATAAAACTTCTAAAAATTTAAGCATAGTTTCATTTTTATGTGTCAAATAGTTTTTGAGCAATGATTTTTCAAATATTACAAATTTGTTTAAGTAATTACCATAATTTACAATTTTCCTGGGCTGGACCCACAAAAATTGTGTAATACCCATATTATGGCAGAATTCTTAAAAACTGATTTTGTAGTAAATTTTATTGTCTTTCGTTTTATTACAAAGCTAAGTCTCTTCCTCCAACACTTTTCTGAAAACTATACAACTAATAATTTATGAATATTGTGATTTTTTCATTTAACGAGTTTAATTGTTTTTACAGCATGTGTTTAAGTTATTAATAGTTAGATAAATAAATTTTACTATGCTTTAGCTAAATTTTTAAAAATATAATATAAATTTGTGTAAAAACAACTTACAGTAAATATCCCAACCGCAGAAAATGATC